TGAATTTATGAAGTTAATTTTTTTGATCTAGATATTTTCATACTTGTGTGCAAAACTCAATAATATAGATTACACCTACAGATAAAATCAATCAAGAGATAAATTTCTATTAAATTTTGAAATTTTTAGTGTGGAAATCAAAATATTTTATTTTATAATTCAAAAAAAATATGTTAAGTAACAAGTTGTATATGTTGTCGTTATATGTTATGTTATGTATATGTTATGTTTTGTTTCATCTGTAGGCAAGACTCAATTGCGTCGAATGCTCATGAGTGTAATCCAAGGCAACAGTTGGCTTGCGAGCAAATGGAACAAACTTAGAACCAAAGGCATTGAAGTAGAGTTTTTGCAAAATAATGAAGAAATGCAACTCTCAGTTTGTGATCTTGCAGGACAATTGATTTTTCTTACTCTTCAAAATGTTCTCTTCCCTTAAACCAACAATGTCTTTGTTTTTCTTTTTGTTTATAGTTCTTTCTGTAAGAAAACATCTTCGTACAAACCAGATTCTTGTTTTAGAACTGAATTGGCGGAGTGGTTGGGTTTCATTACATCAAGCATCAAGGTCACAGGACATAATCTTCCCCAAGTTATTGTTGTGATTTCACACAAAGATAAAGCAAGATCTCGCTCTTTGACTTGGTCTTGCTCCATAGTTGAAGAATTGACCCAAAGGTTCGCAAATTTTGTGGATCTCTGCCAAGAGTTTTTTCACGTAGATGCTCGGGATAACAAGCAAGTTATTCCTCTCAAAAGTCATATTTTTAAAAATTTTGAGAAGTTGTTGAGTGACAAATTACCACAAGTTCCCCATTTTTTAGGTTTTCAACTCACTTCTCTCTTGGTTAAAAAACAACAAGAAAAATAGAAGTTGTCCTTTGTGGCCATCCAAAAGGTTCCAAGAATTCTGTGCTCATAGCTTGACTCAATTCATTCCTTCATCTTCTCCACACTCTGGTGATAATTCAAGTATAATGAGCTCAATCATATCTTATTTGAATGACGTTGGATCCATCATATACATCCCTAACCTTGATTTCATCATTGTGGATCCCAACTGGTTAACCAATACTTTCTTGGGTGAGTTGATATCTCTGCGTCAACACTTTCAAGCTGAAAATTCCAAGTCTAGTGATAACACGATATCAAGTGAGTCATACACAAGCAAGGATGAATTTGTGAGTGAGAGTGTCTTTGTTGGATTGATAGAAGAGTTTCTGGCAAAACATCCACATAGATAGGGAGTTGTGGACGAAAAGGTGCTTGAAGATATACTTATCAATTTAGATTTGTGTTTCAAGGTGGAAGATCCTTCTCAGTATTTCATTCCTTCTTTCATCCCTGAGTATGCAAGCACAGAGTATGCAAGCACAGAAGAACAGAAGCTTCAAGAACTGGCTTGGGAAACTAGGGATGAAACTTCACAGTTTTTCGGCATCCGAATTCAATGCCAAGATGAAAGAACTATGTCATTGACTATTGCTTTTTTCCCATGCTTCCAGGTGATTTCATATACCTAGTGAGAAGATTAAATTCGTCAAGTTCTGATTGTAACTTGTGGTTGATGATTAGAGTGTTTCCATTTCATAAGATGAATTCAATTTTTGAAATGCATAGCTCAATTTTGTTAAATTTTGTATCATTGTAGATGTTCATGAGACGCAAGTTGATATACAAGTTGCATGTTTCCAAAAAGAATGTGATCTGCTCTCGACATTATTTGCAACGTTTTCTTGATGGGTACAAAATCTACGTCGAGCAAGAAACGTAGCACAATTACTTGAACGTTATGATGTTACGCTCGAAACGTAAATCAAGGTTGAAGGCTATGCAATACGTGATTGAGCATATCGTCGAGGAGTTGAAATCATTTTGCGCATCACCAAAAGTCTGTCCCGGGGTGACGTTAGTGCTAGGTGTGATCCAAACACATTGCGTAAAGATGCTGATTCCGAGTTATCTAAGAGTAGCCGTTCTAATCGAGGAGCTCAAATCAAACTTCATTCGTAGCATCAAGGAAAAACTTAAGAATATTCCGCCGGAGAGGTTGCACTTGGTGAAAGAGTAAGAGTTGTTCAACTATGAGCACTCTTGGCCCTCGATTAAAGAGCACACATCGGTAAAATCCGAAAGAGCTAGGGATTTGCTACCGGAGAGCGATGTGGAAGCGGTTGTGAATGAGATCTGACAGAAGTGTATTCAACAATTGGAATCATTTCGGCAAGCCTTCATAAGCAGGAGCAATGATTTGGATCAACCTTACACTGAAAGTGAGAATAGGGTTGGTAACTCAAGTTATTCAGACCGTTCTGATAAGTCCAACTTCGTTAAGGTGGATGAGAGGTTGAGATCAGTGGAGAGCGTGGTCAAGAGAGTGGAGATGAAGCTGGGACAAATACCCACTTTCCACCAAGAATTCCAGACAAGGGTGATGGACTTCATGTCTAAAGTTGACAAGCAGATTGAGTATAGTCAATCGCTTAAGCAGGCGAGAACTCTCAGGAGACCATACGTGACGGACGATGTTGGAGTTTTCTATAGGATAAGTGCGCTGCTGCATGCCGGGACAACCGTTCGATTACACTTGATGTGTGAGTCGGTGACTGGGTTTCACAAAGTCCAAGGTCAAGAAGGTTTGAAAATACGCTTGGATCGGCAGGATTGCGTGTGGATTTGAAAAACTATTAAAATTTCTTACAAAATCATCTCTTATGCTGTGAAGGCTATACTAGATATAATTCTCAGTTTGGGCCAAGCGGTTCCTGGCTGGGAAGATTTAAAATCTGATATAGTTGAACTAGATGACATTAGCTATCGTGATCGTAGGGCAGTTCGAAAAGGTGGGGAAAGCATGGAGCTCAAAGAAGCATGGCTGAGGATTCAGCAAACTCTTGCGCCTCAAGTTCGAGATAGCTATTCGGCAATCTTCAAGTTGTATCAGGTGAAATACGTGAGTCTAGAATTAGGTGTGCATGCATTGGTGTGCCAAGAGTGCATGCATAAAGGTCTTAGTAGTGGAATTTTGACAGATTAGGATTTGAAGGAGGTAAGAATGTCATTATGCAATTGACAAGGCTATGTTTAGACCCTCATGCAATATGAACCTCTGCAAAATCTGCCTTAGAGTTTTGAATCGTAAAAGTCTTCCGGAAGACTCTGAAAAAGATTACGGAAGTTACGTTCCGTATGAAAGTATGAAAGCTCGAATCTTTTTCAGAGTCTTCCGGATTACTCGGTCGAATAGGATGTGGGTTGGTGATGACCCTCGCTATCAAATCAAGTACAGTCCATCAACGAGGTGACTGGCGGACGTCGCTGTCGATGTCTCTGTTGTTGCGGGTGGGAATCGCTACTCCGATTGGCCCGCACGTCGCAGTCGGCTTCCAGATTGTGAGCCAGATGTCGACCGCGAGTCGCTTGCTGGCCACGTTATAGCTCACGTCGAATCTCTGTCTCCGGAATGAGTCCGTAAGCCTTCGACCTGTCAGCACGCGGCAACAACGACGCCGCCGCCATCATCGAGGAAGCATCTCTGAGAATATACAGGCGATCTCTCTCTCGATCGATCGAGTTTGTCCTCCATCCATTTGACATTTACGATCCGAGAAGGTTTTTGAGAAGGTTCTACAATTTCGTCGTTTCACACTCCCCTCGGCTTGGGACCCGGCCCCGGGGAGAGTGGCTTTTTGGAGTGTGTGAAGGAAGGAAGATGATGGACGAAGGATCGACGAGAGCTGAATCTAGAGCGTCTAGAGTCTAAAGTCGAGTCTCACTATCGCTTCTGGTTGGCGCTGGGATGGTCTGTAGCGCACCGCAACCTCGACGAAACGCTCGATTGAGGTATCGATCGAAGGTCGGAATGACACTTTGCTCCTTCAGCTGTGGACGAAGCCGAAAGCAAATCTGAATCACTCTATGAAACTGAATCGAACTGCCTCCACTTTCACTCCGAGTGAGGCTGAAATCCACCACATTGCGCATTCCAAAAGTTTGGAGTCTACGTCCCTTGAAGACTCGGACCGAGGGAAGAAAGACGACATTTTACCGAAGACCTCATCGAGTCTCACGATGCACTGGGTTTTGAGAAACTTCGGTTTCTTAGGACGTTCGTGTCAAGAACGAAGCCCAGGCGGCGTGAATTATGATACATCTCATTGCGCTGCTTGCATCGGTCGATTGGACAGAGCGTGCTCTGAGGGGCATCACGGAATGTCAACTTCGACCACCACGATCGTGGGCGAGGGACAACCTCTCCGATTGATTGATTGAATGAATGGATGAATGGATGTCTCAGGGAATTAGCAATTTATCGAACTCTCGATCGTACAGGATCGAATTGTTCTTGTAGCCAAAACGGCCTCTAGTAAAGTGCTGCGTCTTCCGTCGCTTCGCCGACAATGGATGAATGATCTGGAGATGCGGATGTGCCGCTTCAGAGATTGGGATTCTACACCCATTCAGTCCAGACATGCTCGTCCGACTGAATTTCTTCTCTACATACGTCTCAAATTGCCAGAATCGAAACGCAATGAACGGGAACCGGACTTTCCGTAGATGATCGACGTAGCTTTCGACGAGATCGAGAGCACGACATGTCCAAATTCCAATGCTTGGAATCATTGCAGTCAACATTCAGGGACCTGTCCGCATTCGGGTGCTCGGTGCCACCGGCCGAAACCATCTGATTCGGCCATTCGAGTTCGGTCATGGATCGATGAACGACGGGCATTCGACGTTCGAATCATTGTGACAGACATTTTGACCTCTCATGCGGCTGGCCTGCCTTGCCGACGACAGAACCGAGATCCAGACTCCAAAGCACCTCCCTGCGGCCGCACCGCGGTGTTCCCTCGACCTTCTGAAGCGCCCACGGGCGATGATCTCGTTATGAACACGATTCATCTGCAGAGCAAAGGGCGATCGCAAGGAGATTCACAAATCCAGTGAGGATGATATGAAATTAAAAGGCATTGCAAGGGGTCTGCCAGAACTCTGAGTCCTTCGGGGCACTCTGAATCGAATCACAGACCACGAACCGCAGATCGATATGCCTCCGGCGGCTGCGCACGGGGCCAAAAAGTGGAAGAGAGGAGGCCGGATCGGATCGGGGTCGCACTCGAGCGTGTTCATGGCCACGAACACGGAGAATGGGAAGAAATTCGCCGTCAAGTCGGCGGACAAGTCGCATCTGCAGGAGCGGCTGTGCCTCGAGGTCGAGCGCAAGCTGCTGAAGATGTGCAAGTCGCCCTACGTGGTCAAGTACTTGGGCTGCGACACGACCGACCGCGTCAAGGAGCTGGACAATCGGAACAGCTTCAACCTGCTGCTGGAGCTCGTGCCGCGCGGCTCCGTGCAGGACCACATCCGGCGCTGCGACGGCCGCCTGCCGGAGCCCATCGTCGCGGCCTACACTCGTGACATCCTCCGCGGGCTGTCGTATCTGCACTCGCGCGGCATCGTCCACGGCGACGTCAAGGCCGGCAACTGCCTCATCGGCCGCGACAACATCAAACTCTGCGACCTCGGGTCTGGGAAGTTTCTCGCTGACGGCGATCTGCCTCTGACGCCGACGAAAGGCGAGCACATGAAGAAGCGCATCTTCACCACGGGGACCGATGGGTACAAGGCCCCCGAGGTGCGCGAGGAGACGGAGCAGGGCCCGCGGTCGGACATCTACTCTTTGGGCTGTACCGTGATCGAGATGTGCACCGGGCGCCCACCCGGTTTCGTGCCTACGTCGTACGAGTTGTTGACCGAGTTCGTCCCCGAGACCGGCCTCCCGGCCATGCTCATCGACGTCCCGCAGACTTACTCGCAGGAGTGCCGTGACTTCGTCGACGAGTGCTTGCAACCGGACCCTGACCGACGGCCCGACGCCGACGAGCTTCTTAAGCACGTCTGGTTTTCCAGTCGCCCTTGTTCGTACCCCGTGGACAAACCGTCGGTTCCCCGGTCCGATCAGCACCGTTCTCCTCAGCCCCGACCGCAACCTCCACCTCCCCCGCCCAGCCTTCTGGACAAGTGCGGCAACCTGCTCGGCTGCAAATGCTGATGACTCGCTGCGCTTTATCGGCACTTTCCGGCTTTCCGTCTGTCCGTCCGTCCGACGCTCTAAGGGAACTACGTCCGCTTTTCAGTACGAGTATTTCTCCTGTTGGTGATGGTGGAACGGAAGTCGGCGATTTTGACCATTTTCCGATTTGTTTGCAATTTTGAAGAGTGCTGCAGTCTCGTCTGTCGACACCCTTCCCATTCCCTTGACCACCTTGTAGGTTAGGAACCATTACCTTTGCATTTCCTTTGATGGAGATCTACTAACTCGGACCGGAGGAGTGCATGCATTTATCAGCACAATTTGTTTGAATGTAGCTTTGTGATCGTATCCTTGCAGAGACGTCATGTACTTGATCACTGATTATCCCCTCTACTCCAGTATGTGTCAAGCTTGCCTTCAAACGAAGAACAGAAAGCTTCAAAGAATGTTTACTCTTTCAAACAACACGATTCATTGTTTTACGAACACTATAATAAATCTATTGATGTGAACATAATTTAGTTGTTTTCATCATTTAGGCTCAAAGAAATAATTTTCCCTGAATTTCAAATTATCACAAAAAAATTTCCAAAATCCTTTTCTAAAGGTTTCAAATTTTATCGTATGCAAATCTTTTTATATTCACACCTTCCAAGTATTTTTTCGTTCTTTGTAGTTGACAACTAAAGATGATTTCATATGGAATTTGTATGATATGCTATGTGCTGCACCTTCTATTTTCATCGACGTTTGTGTCTTAAGATTGAACATCTCGACTCCATGTTTCCGATGGTTTTGAAGAAAGTTCTAGATATGACCATGGTCGGAGCATTTGCACAGATTTAGCCTTCGATGAAGCTACCCTCAAAATACAGCCACCTCGTTTGGAGGTTTTTAAACAACTCAGCTCTCATCCACCTCACCATCTGTCGAAGTTATCTCTAACTTCCATATGAACTATTGAACCTTCGACTGAATTCGGTGCCCTGCACAGAAGATCGTGGGGATTGTCTCTTCTGGTCGCCATCTCGTGGTGCTGTTCATTTTCCACACAGTAAAAGCACAATGATGCGCTTCTGGACGAAGGAACCATGCTTCCAGTTTCATGAAGTAGGACCACTAATTTCATACTTAAAGTCTGCCGCTCACAAACTCCATGATCCGCTGAGGTGTGATTCTGATGTGATTTCGATCCATGTCAATGATAAAACCTGGCTGCGAGAGTAATGGGTCGACTGCGAGAATATTACTACTCGGGTCACTTTTGTGACACAAATTCGCTTTGTTTGGCCGTCACATCTGACATGCAGCTCGGAGCATTTTGCTCGTGAGCCGTAGAGATACTGTCGCTATGATAGATTGCAATTCCAGCACCCTCTTGAACATCTCCACAAGTGACATTCGCGTTCGAGCCATATATATTATGAAACTCTTTCAACTAAAGAGTCGATTCCTCACCTTAGGGATCAAGATTCACACGAGGATTTGCTCGTTGGACGTATATGGAAGTTGAAAGTGATCATTGAAATGGGACCGATGTAAGGGCAGTCCATGGGGACGTAGGCTTTGCCAACTTCCTCGACTCGAGTTTTACTCAGTGAAGGTGCAGGTGACGAAACCGGTGGGAACTTTTTTCAATCATTGAGAACTGTATACAAGATCATCAATATACCTCCCTAGATCTACTTTACAAGATAAATGAAATGGAACTATATTAGTACATAGTGTAATGCATTGGGATTACTCTTAGGTATCTGTTTAAGGGTTAGTAATCTCATCAGTTTCATCCCACAGTCTATTTAATTTTTCTTAAATATAAATATAAATAAATAAATATATATATTTTAATATATTTTACTTTGTTGTTTCCAAAACTTATTGAAAATATGTACTAACAAATGATGCCAAAGGCTTCAATTTTGTTTCTTAATATGTATAAATATATAAAACAAGATATGCATAAATTATCCGTATTAAATGTGAGTTAAATCCACTAGAATTCTTAATCCATCTAAAACAATCAATCAACATCATACAGTATACAATCATATGACATATGCATTTGAATGACTCACTCTCATTCTGTTGTAAAAGTACGTTACAAAACCGGATGTTTTTCTATATTATTTTGATTGGAAACTTATATATAGAGGAGGGTTTATACATATCTTTCGACAAGTAATACTCTTTCATGAGAATATCACCTGTTCATAAAATATTATGCCAAAACATATGAACTAGTATCTGTAATTTTCAGATTTTCAGATTTCTCCAATGATTTGTTTAGTACTGTATGTGTGCATTAGCTGAACAAGTTGTTCTTATGCAATAAAAATCAGCACAACTGATTTATTGACGAATGTTTATTCAAGACAAAGCCTTGGCAAATACTCTTTACAATTTCTTTCTGATTTCATTTTCATTTCAAATATCTTGATATGCTTAGATTTGAAATTTGATGATATAAGAAGTCAAAATATGAGAAAGTGTTTACTCTCTTTTCTAATGGACAAACATTTTGTAAAAATTTGCAGGTCATTTTGGTTTCTCATTGAGACGACATCACAAATAGAAATTGCTTGAAGACGCAGAAATGGCTAGGAACAAAGAAGATCTTGATGCATATCTGGAATATCACAGAGAAATGATCATGATTGCATGCACACATATTATCAAGGAGGACAAATACTGAAGTCATATTTACATATCCTTGTAGATGGATGAAATGTGAAATCTTATCTGCCAAAGTATGACAGTATAGGAATATACGTAGATTTTCCACATCTATTGATTTAAAATTGGAGTATTATATTTTCTAAAAATGCATAATATGCCACTTCTTTAGGTACATGGAATAACATAATATTTTGTTGGTGCAAATTGTTAGGTAATATCTTAGGGTTTAGGACAGAATGTATGCATTAATGTTCAAACATGACTAGACAATGCAATCCTTTTTGGTTTAAATTGTTTCTATCGATGTGAATTTCTTCAAACGTAAGTATATAAGTTATATACATAGATCTATAGGTAAATCAATTTTTTTTATTTTCAGTCAAAGTGTATATACATTCTTTCACAAAGATCACTAGACGCTTCTATTCTATATCATCGATTGATCTATATCGTAGACACTAAGTAGCGAAATCTCTAGAATGACAATAAATTAAAAAATAAAGCATCTAAGCTATACAAGCAAACAGATAGTATTATTAGTTGCAGTAAAACATTCGTACAATCTTATGTGTTAATTGACCACCTATTACATCATTTAGATGATAACATATTAGCCACTAGCTCATCAGAAACCGAAGGATTAAGATAGCCTCAGAATCTCTTCCCATCTTTTTCCTAATAATTTATTGCGCGACTTAGGGATTCACTAGTTCATAAAGAAGTGGTCCTCCCGATTTGGTAGTCTATGGCTATGAAAGACTATGAAAGTGGACAAATACTTAGGTCATGGTCATGGTCTTACGAGAGGCTCACGGTCCGCAAAACTTCATGGCCACCAGAGTCCAGACCTACTGTCTTAGAGTAATAGAGTATTAGAGAATTAGAGTACAGAGGGTGTACAACCACCATGGATAAGTACGTTAGCACGTACTGATCAATGAGCTCGAGCTCGTTAGTGCTCGGGGACTTTAAGCAGAGACCTACCAAAGGCTAAATCTGTGGAAGTTCGTTAACTCCGTGAGTTGACTCTTGCCATCATCGCATCGCATTGCACAGAGCCAAAGAAAGAAAGTTGGAGAGAATGATGAAAAAGCTGTAGCTTCTAAATGCAGGACACCACAAACTCTAGCGCACTAAGTGGAGTGCTTGAGCGCACGCACATGCTGCGCGTTCACACGAATTGCAGTACGTACAGACCTGTGGAATTGAAACAGCGTGTGAGTGAATGAGAGATGGAGAGAGATGGATTCATGGGAAGAACGACCGCGGCGAAGGAGACAGAGAAAAGTAAAGCATACTCGGTACGCGTGAAAAGCGAGGATCGAAGACAAGTGCACCTATACAGACCCGAATCCCGTATAGCTACCTCGAGTGTACTTGTCGTGGCGCACGAGGAACTTTAGCGGCACCTGATTCCGTTGCAGCCGCTGTGGCTGTGGCTGGCTGGCTGGCTGGCGGGCGGGCGAAGAAAATAGTTGATTCTTTGACCTTCGTTTCTCGAACATGTTTGCTCGTGAAGCAAAGCATCGACACAAATAAGCGACAGATCTCCTTCCGGTGACGCAAAGGAGATATTCGATTTCTACATCCGAGGTGATCGAGGAATTAGATAAGAGTGTCTGAAAAGAGTGTGCGTTGATTGGCTTTATTATTTTACTGTGGGCGGTCGTAATCTGCTCTCCTCACTTTCCGTACCTTGGTGCTTCAAACTCCACCGCAACACAACAACCATATATTTATATATACATATATGCTTATGTCTTGAGTAGACAGAATTGTGCACAGGAAAAGTGAGGAATTATTTGGAAGAACAATCTGTCACTTGTCTGCCATCATTCGCACCCCAGCAAAGGGAACCTTCCACAGAGGAACACTATTCAAGTCTTCTGAATCGGGTCGGCATAGGTCATGAACACTTTGCAGCCAGAACGGATACATGTGACGCCGCAAGAATAAATTTGTGTGACATCAGGACATACACTTCATCCCATCCACTCTTAAAAGAGAAAGCCTTGCCCAACTTTAGATCATTACGGAGATTCTGCTTTTACATATATATATATATATATATGACAAACTGCCGAACAGAGTGTCCGGAACAGAGAAAGTTTTGACAAAAAGCTGTAGATCGAGATTCTATTTTCGAATGTCTTGAGTGATAAACTTCCAGTAAGAAAATCCGGGGTCGAGTAGAATGCTCAAACGCGAAAAGACATTGGATCCCCAGGTGTCCTCGAGCAGCAGCTCTACTGAAACGATGCGGAGATTTAGATTTACCCACATTTCAAATGGTGTTCGAAAAGCAGTGAAGGATAACCACGGATGAAGATAAGCGCCGGGCTCACTCCAGCTCGGAAGAAGTCAGACGCCGACCGTGATCAGGCGGAACAGAAATGAAGGGGAAAAGGGAAATACCGTGAGTTAGTTATGGCGAGCCGTCAGCGGGTTCCGAACATTCAATCGGCTATCGTTCATAAGCAGATTTTTTTAAGAAACATTCTCAGAATCCGCCCGCCCCTTAAAGGCGACGACGTACAGCTGGACCGATCGATCGGCTCGATGCAGCAGGGATGGCGATGGGATGGGGATGAGGTGAGGTGAGGCGAGGCGAGGTGAGGCGAGACGATGGCGGAGCGAAGCGGGCATTCAAATAAAAGGGAGATCCAGAAATTTTCAGGAGAGGACAAAAGCCCCATTCCCGTGGAGAAGAACCTCTGCTGCACATTTGCAGACACCGCTGAACAGTGTCCCTGCGAGGGGTCAGATGCGTGAGCTCACGGCGAGTTTCGAAACGGGGCCTCTCGTTGCCGTTGGGCTACCTACCGGGGCGAAGCTTCACACGACACACACACGATCGGGATCGGGGGCCCTCCCTCAGGCGATAAGATGACCAGCTGGAGAGCCCCTGCCAAAGTCGTTAATCGGTAGGCCACAATCCATGATTTCGTGTTAGATAATCTTCAAATCTTCAAAGCCACACCCCTCTGTCAATGTACGTCGCATGGTCGAAACATAATTATGAATTCGATTTTCTTCCCGTACCAGCTGGCCACCAAATGTCGGGATTTCGAACAGCCCCCCCCCCCTCTGAATCATTGCACATCTCCCCCACATGGCGTATTTTCCTCTGCAGCGGGTATTCCTATTCCTTATTCGTACGCCTGTCGATTTATATTCGATTGAATTTCAGCACCCGCCTTCCCTTTCCATTCTCGACCTTCTCGACCTTCCGTGATATAAATGACTACGTTTCCTTTATGGGGGGAGGAAAGGAAAGGAAATATTAAAATGGAAAGGGGGCTTGGGCAGAAATGTATTTTATTTAGCGGGAGGCAGTTTCCCGGTGGAGAAGAATGATGGGGACCCGGCGCCGGCAGGTGCCGGTGTGAAGCGAAGGGAGCGCGACCGACCGCGAGCGACCCACCGGTCGTTGTCTGACACGATCCGGGCGTGCGTTGCAGGCAGGCAGGCAGACGGACAGACGACGTTGGAGGGGATGAGGCGAGAGGATCTGTCGATGTTGGTCTGTTGTTGTCTTGCTCAAACGGCTCGTCGCCGGTCAGAGTGTCAGAGCGGCAGCCAGTCACGCGCCCCTGGGGACCGCCGGTCGTCTACGCCAGTCGTCGAAGCCATACCTACGCCACGAAAGAAAGAAAGAAAGAAAGGGCCCCCTCAGCCTACGGTCCCGCCCTCCTACCGTCCCGCGGGCGGGCGACCTTACGCGGCCCGCTCCTCTCCGCCCCATGTCGCCCCATTTCTCCTCATTTCGTCCCATTTCGCTCAATTTCGAAATTTCGGCCGATTCGAACGGGCAGGGTCCAGGGTGCAGGGAAGGCGAAGGGCAGCAGGCGGGCAACCGTACCCAAGGCGGTACTTGCTGTCGGGAGGCCATGGCGGACTTGTTCCCCCTAGTTTCGGGCTGGCTACGGAGGAAAGGGGCAGGAGGACCGACTGACCGACCCGACCCGACCCGACCCGACCCAACCCGACCTGACCTGACCCGACCTGACCTGAACTGGGCGAGAATACGAGCAAAAGCCCTTTTTGTGTTGTTGTGGTCCGCTGTGCGCTCCGCCCCTTCTATATTTGGATCCGTAGGCCGGGACGGCGGGCAGCACGTTGAGCCTCGTCGTCGTATCTTTCTTTCCTCGTCACTACGAGCGTCCTCTTCCTCTTCCTCCTCTTCCTCGTCCTGCGCTTCTTCTTCTTCCTCATTCTTCTGCTGCTGCTGCTGCTGCTTGTGCTTCTTCGTCGTCTACATGTCGTCTTTGGGGTTCAGTTCAATTTGCCGTTCTTCCCGCTACTGTCACTAAGGTGGTGATTTCTTTGCTTTGGTGTGGTCGGCCCCGCTGCCCGCTCGATCGCTTTCTGGCGCGTGTCGCGGCTGATGCTGCTGCGAAGCTGAAGTGGAGTAGAGTCGAAGAGTCGTCGTCGGCGCAGAGTCCATGAGAGTGATGTGAGGCGAGGGATGGTTGTGCTGCGTGTCCTCCTCTTCTTCGAGTCCATCTTAGAAGGCGAGAGAAACTGTGTCGCCACTTCCCGAAGAGTCTCAGACGCTTTTCTTTTGTGCCAAATTAAGCGCGCAAGCGGAGACTCTTTCTTCGCGATCTTCTTCTTCTTCTTCTTCCTCTTCTTCGCCTCGTGCTTCTTGTGTGCGTGCGTGCGAGCGAGTGCACCGGCATAGTCTCGTCGGGGTCAGCCGTCAATTTTCTTGCTCGGGGACCAAATCGTTCTCCAGTTCAGTTCCCTTTGGCGCCTTCGTCGTCGTCGTTCACTCGATGAGTGGATAGACAGACGCACGTTCTTGTCCGGTCACGTTTGCGCGCAGCAGTTCGCTCCAATATTCCTCTGCTTCATCATCATCCAAGAGAGGCCTGCTCGCCACTCTCCGCGTGCAGGATTCGAGCCGAGGCTGCCAATTCACGCACTTCTTGATATCGAACGATCCGCACCTCGGGAGCTTCTTTGCAGGACGGGCGCCGACCGTTGCTCGCTCTAGGCGACCGGCCGGGGGGCCACGCATTTTGGGTGCGACCCTATGACAGCCTGGATGGAGGGCTGGTACATCGACGCGACGCGAACGTATTTGAGAGGATTGACGCACAGAGCCCGGGGATATGTGGACTGCCTCCTAGGGTACTCCTGACTACGTAATTCTGCAGCCTTGAGCAGGAAGTGAGTGTAGTGCTCTGATGAGAGCTCGCTGGACAGGGGAGCAGTGGGTTTTCGTGATGAACCGTCGATTTCGAACCGCTGATTGGGGTCGTGCTTCGGGGGGGAAATCCTTTGTTCGGTTGTAGCTTTGTAGCGGTGACTGCAGGGACAAATAGTTAGGGACTTGGGGTTGCGAAATTGCCCCGTCGTGGTGGTTGTCTGGTAGAAGTAGGTAGGGCATAATTAATTCGAGATTGTCGAGCCTGTGAATTGGATTGTACGAGCTTGAGACTCAGGTGAAGATGGGGTGTACGAGTTCGAAGGTCGATAATGAGGAAGGAGTTGCGAGATGTCGGGCTCGGAAGCGGCACATAAAGCACGCAGTATCTTCGCGCCACGCCTTCGCCTCCGCCCATGCCCAGTATGTCCATGCCCTGAAAGGTTGTGGTGCGGCTTTCCGACAATTCGCTGAGGGGGAACATGGAGAGCAGCGGGAACAGCTAGCTCCACCGACTCCAGTCACTCCTGCCACTCCAGCTACTCCCCTGACTCCTCTTCTGAAGATCAAGGAAGCTCGTCCGCCTCCGCCTCCTCCCCACCTCTCTGTCAGGGCTTCTTCTCCACCTCGAGAGGCAGCTCGTCACAGTCTTTCAGGTACGGTCCCGGATCCTCTGTTGTTGGAAGAAGCGGAACGAGCCCGTTCGTCACCTGAGCCCGTCCAACGTCCGGATTCGCCTCCGGCTTTCGCCGTTATCTCGCGCTCAACTCGTGAATCTTCTGGAGATGACTGGATACGCATCAACCCGTCACCTGCTCCGTCAAATTCTTCCTATCCGGCGCCCCCGCCCCCTGTACCTCGCAATAGCTGGCATAATCTGTTCTTCGATCCCTTCCGTCCTGTACCCGAGGTTGACTTCGATCCTCCTTCTCCCCCTTTTCATCAACCCGAACGAAGGAATTCTAAAGCGAAGGAGGAAGCGAGCGACCACAAGAATATCAAGGATGACGACGACATGCCACCCCTAGAAGAGGATAGGGCAGGAGAAGAGGAAAGCGCAAAAGAAGTACATGTGCAGTTGACGCAGACGCCCGAAGTTATCACTGAATCCCATCATGAATCCCCGGTGGTGGCTGAGAGGAACATGGAAACGAGTGCGGTTGAGAAGAGCCCAAACAACGAGTTATCGGTCCACACACACAGTTCTCCAAAGGGCAGAGATTTACTCGAGGTTCTGAGGGATGTCGATGATATGTTTTTGAAGACCGCCGAATGCGGGGATGTTGTGAGCCGAATGCTGGAGACGAAGAAGGTGCACTACCATTCGAGTTTTTCTGAAGTGAAAGGTAATTCAAGCCACTGCACTGTGTGAATCAGGTTTTGCAGCTTTCACTAAAAAATAATTTGCTACCTTCAGTACATGAATTTGACTCCCAGTATATCTTCTCGCCGTGTGTCCTTTCGTTAATCAGCCCTCTGAATTCGTAGTTTCTTGCGTGAATCTGACTCTCTCATCATTGAAGGTCCTTTAACGTCTGCATGAACCTTCCTCAACGTTCCAGTATCTTATCAACTTCGTTTGGCTCTCGGGGATATTGTTGCCCTTTTTGTTCATGCTTAAGTGTGAATATTTGGTGGTCAGATTGAATTATCGAACGTGTCTAGTCATAGTTGTGATGCCTGAAAGTTGAGGTATTCTTTCTTGCGCAACCGCCTCCTATCGAGGATGGTGTCTCAACGGTAGATTTTAATGTGTTGTTTGTTATTACCATCAACCATCAGATGTCAACTGACTTGCTTGGGAAGACTCAGCTTTGTCATGCTGACCTTTCTTCGAGTGCAAATTGTCTGTCTCTGTTATCGAACACGGACACAGTGCATTTTAGCAACCAGTAACCTTGTGCTAGTGAAGTATGCGATTTCAAGCCCCAGTAGTTCTAGGTCCATATCTGAGTTTGGAGACAATTTTCGGAAACTAAGCGTTCCCCCTTTTGTAATCGTAGGGTTTGCCGAAAACTCGGCAAAAGTGTTCAACTCGACCTTCTGGACACGGTCTCTCTCAAAGAATTCGTCTACTTCCCCAGGCGGGATGCTGAAAGATTTCGCGTTAGAGACTGCTGCTAATGGAGATGGGTTGACGATGGTTAGCCACGCATCAACACTGGATCGGTTGTTTGCGTGGGAGAAAAAGCTGTATGACGAAGTGAAGGTAAGTGACTTTGTGCCTCGGGCAGGCCGTATTTTATATATTTAATAGAATCTAACGAGCCAGACATAAGGCAATCGGAAGCTGGTAGGGCAAAAGTTGATCGTAAGAATTTTAGATATTTCGAACTGAGACAATGAACATTCTCGGTAGCCATCTCTTCGAAGCAGTCGTCACCTTTGTGCTTTCCAGTCGTGACAAAAGACTCGAGCTTCGTCAGCTGTGTAATTTTAGCTGTCAGTGAAAGGGTGTCCAGTCATCTTAACCCATACATTGATCTTTTTTGCAGTCTGCTGAAGTAATAAGGGTAGATCTGGAAAAGAATTGCACACGACTGCGCAGTCAAGATGCGAAAGGAGACGACCCGTTGGCCATAGACAAAACGCGAGCTGCGATCAAAGTCCTGCATACCAGGTTTATGGTAGCCCTGCAAGCCGTTGACACGGCCAATAGCGCCGTACACAAAATTCGAGATGAAGAGTTATATCCGCAACTGCTTGAGCTTCTGGAAGGGTATGTCCGTCGAACTTGGTAGCTTTTGTTCTCGCAAATCTTTTCGTAACGAACACGAGGGATTTTATGAGGAATGTACGTTTATTGACTTAACTGTATTACTTACCAGAATCTTCCACCAATCTAAAATCTAATTGAGTATATCGGATCTAAAGCAAGTCACAAGCAAGTCACAGAATATGTGAATTATAACCATGACAGTATATGTAGTGTTTATAGAAATACCTTTCTGTGGTTGAGTTTATGCAGTTTAAATACGTTTATTTAGTTCAAATGTAGGTTGAGTGTATGTTGGCTGAAACCCGGGTTTTTTAGCGTGATCGGAAGCAAATGCTTGCCGTAGTAAGCTGAGTAGTCGGTCTGTGCTTTGTCTTGTAGGTTGGCGAACATGTGGAAAGGAATGAGTGAATGTCATGACGTCCAGCAAGCTATCGCTCAGGATATGAAGACGCTCAACAATTCTGCAGCTGCAGAACCCACCAGCAGTTTGCATAGACAATCAACTCTTGAACTAGCTACCGTGCTGTCCAAGTTGGCTAAGTCGTTCGCTAATGTCATAAGCAGCCAGAAGGAATATCTGCATAATCTGAACGGCTGGCTGCGCTTAAGTCTGGTACAGCCCGATGCGGAACTCAGGGACGATCAGAGCAAATCATCAGGAACCAAAGTAGCCCATACACCGATCTACGCCCTCTGTCAAGACTGGCATCGAGCTCTGGAGAAGCTTCCGGACAAAGTGACTCTGGAAGCCATTAACGGCTTTGTGGCGGTCGTGAATGAGTGGGTTCGCTTGCAGTCGGAAGAACTGAAACATAAGAAGAAGGCCGAGAGTTTAGAGCGAGAGCTAAGCAAGAAGGAACAGTTTTTGGAGATGTTGGAAAGGAAGTACGTGGACTCCACTCCGGTGAGCGAAGAGAAGGAAGAATTTGTCACGGACTCTCCGCGAAGAGCAGCTTTGAACGAGAACAAGAGCAGAGTGGACCACTTCAGACTGAAGGTCGAGCAAGAGAAGGAGGCGGTTGAGAGGTCCGTGTTGGCCACCCGGGCCATGACGCTGACGAGCTGTCAAAGCGGACTGCCTGGGCTTTTCGGGGCGCTCTCGCACTTCTCCGCGCTCGCCCACCAGACTTACAGGGACCTTCACGCCCAGGGTGTAAATATAAAATTGGCTCGGATCTCTGGGTAGATAGAGGACGTCTATTCTTTGGGGCTCTCTTGGAGCCAGCGGCCGAAACGGCGAGTTTTGCACCGAAATTATCTGTAGGCATGGTTTGTGTTTGTGTAGAGGCAGAGCAGCAAGACCACTCGCTCTTGTACTACCAGGTAGACTTTTTGGATCTTTGGATAAATAGGAGTTGTGATGTTCCCTTGTCATTAAGATACTTAGGAGAATAGGTGTAGAATATCGAGAGTTTTATACACTAGAGAGCCGAGACCGAGGAGCTCACAACACAGGAAGTAAATCATAGGAACTGCCCACCCCCTTCTTCTGCTGTACATCACTGTTACACATAAATTTTGTCCCCACGGGACCCCGGGCCACGCTCGGGACAGGGGTCCTTCAAGTCTTTTATTCTCCCTTCTCGACTCCTCGTGTTGACCACGTAATCCCACCCCACCCCGCGATGAATGAGCCCGCCACCACTACGGCATCCACGATTCTACGCGGTTCCTCGGCCCACCACCTGGGACGCCATGAACCGGGTTGCGAGGTCGTAACGGACAGAAGAACGTCGTCGTTTGAAACTTCTTGAAATAACGTCAGCCGGGTCCGCTCTCTCGAGCTCAACGTTCGCCCTACCCCCGGGTGCGTAGGCGAGTGTACGAGCAGGAATCTCCCCGAGTATACGTTGCGGGGCTTCGAAGTGAAGATAGCTGAGCGGCTTGTGGAAAGCGGTGTATCCGGTGGGTCTCGAGTCATCGTATTTGCGGAAACATATAAATTTCGCGGTGTCGTGTTTTACATTTGCGGATTCAAGTTATCGTCGAGTCGTGTGATTTTTCGCTTCGTTACCTTACTCCGTTGGCTTCTTACCCTCTTTCCAAGTTGTGAAATTGCCGTCCGAGATCATTGACAGCATTATCGCCGCATGGTACAGCGACCACTAGCAAACGCAATTAACATTCCGAGATGTTTGATGCGCACCAAACGTGTGCGGAAGTGATGAAGAAGAAAAATGAGAAAACCCGGTGAATGAGGCAATTTCCGGTGATGATTCCTACCATCTTCACTTCGAAATGTGTAGCACTGATTTGCATTACTGACATGATTCGTTTTAGTTATGGTAACTATTCTATACCAAGCCATCAGGGTAATCACAATCTTAATGGGGACATTGTCGGTCAATAATAATATCAACGAGCCGTCAAAACAGAATAACTGATGGAATTCACAATTTTCATTGCTAAGCATGAGTGAACTGTTACCATTAGTATTGGATTGTTTTATAAATTACTAATTGTTTTACTAAATCTTCGTCAAAATTGATTTGACGATTTAGCATGCTCTATGTTTTAAATTTCATTATTTGATAAATATATCAAAATGATTCTTTTACACTCTGATGTAACTTTCAATGTTTACGGAACAGCTAGTTATACTTCAGATTAAGCTAATTATCCTTCACTCTATGCTAATGTGTACTTCATTTTTTTTTTTTTGTTCGGGAAGACTATATCACGGAGCTCTAGTAAACATAGGGATAGTTTTGACCCATCATAGAACTTTGTTCAATAGTATGAGGGACAATTAACCCAAATTGAGTTATAACTAACAACTCCTTTTTTTATTGTTTATCGATATATATATATATATATATATATATATATATCTATATATATATAATTCTATAATGAACAATACACACATTATACATGATTTTATCAAATAATAAAAAATCAAATAAGAAGTAAAATATTTAACTTTTTTGAAGTTGAAAATACAAAGATTTAGAGTTCAATCTTCTTATGCCATCACTTTTCATTTGCATTCACTTGAAATGATTCATTTCATGAATCATTTATACGATCAATGAACAATTTTCAAAACAAATTTCACATTTAGATCGATGTATACATAATATAAATAGTCAATATCTTATTTTACATCTATGTATATATCGTACAAAGATATAGAATTCTTACGTTTATACATAAAGTGACATTTGTTGTATTACTTTCCAATACTACTTGTATATTCACTTAATTTTCCCTTTCTGTTACACGTTTACAAGCATTTCATGAAGATAGCATGATTTGTTGAGGTTAACTCCAATTAAGGAGTAACCTCGGATCCTTGCTATTTATAGCTAGGCGATTTCCTGTATTGGGTATAAACACCTCGTCTTTCGCCCTGTACATTGAGTATTTTCTGGACATGACCTAGAAGTAAAGTGCAACGTGTTTTCGGTGGATGTAGCTCCTTTGAAGGGGATGAACCACTTTACATCTTGTCTCGAGTGTTTTCAGTCATTTGCATGTTTTGTATTTACAAATGGTATCAGAGCATGCTTCGGTTCGAAGTCTACGACATCTGAAAATTTCCAGCAACTATTTATGAAGTCGAGTTGACAATTTTAACTTGAAGAAAGTACAATAGTCGCAAGCAATGTGGTCGAGGATGACGGACGATAGTCATGGGCGACAATGGTCGCGGATGACGGAAGATAGTAACGGGCAACGTGATATCGGACGACATTGATTGAGGACAATGTCAATTGCGGACGATGATGATGACCAATCGTAGACAACAGTTGCAGGCACGATGACGGTTAGTCGCGGACAACAGTAAGTTGCCGAAAATAGTCACGGGCAATATGTTGTGGTCTGACATGATAGTACTTCCTCTCGAATCTCATCCAAAATTTTTGCGCTATCATTTGGATTTCAAAGTCATGGATAGTCGCAGTGAGTAGCTACTAACAGATTCTGTTTGACGAATATTGGAGCATGCAGATTTGAATATCATGAACAGACGAAAAGTTTTGTTATTGGCCGCGGAGGATAGCGATCTAGATTCAAATTTACATGGGTATGCGAATGTGATGAAAAATGTTATTCACGACTTTTTTTGGCAAGAATGCACAAGTACCACCTTAGTTAGATATGCCCACAGCGCTGAAGCAGGAAGATGCAAGAACATCACAAGAAGTTGAAACATTGACCTAGATGTTGTTCTCGTCCATGGCGGAGATAGATCAATTACAAAACTCGTACGCGGACATTGGTTCCATTGCAATTGTATTGCTTCATCTTGTATGGCCAAGGGGGCAATGCAATGTCCGAACTATCAGCATGTAGAGAAGCATTAATCTAGTGTCTACGAGTAGTGGTCGGATGACGATACACATGTCAGAGAATATGAACCTATGAGAACGAGATTATGTGCTTTGGCAAAAGTAATCTATGGGATTAGAAAAGTTGTAACATTTTTTGTTTGAGATTTTTCTTTCAATGAGATCTAGATCATTGAAAGAGGAGGAAAGTTCGCAGGCTCTTCCTCATGACAAGAGAAAATCTCCGCTCACAGATATTGTTGTGGGGGAGGTTGATTGTTATGCGATTAATGATTAAGAAGTTAGAGCACTAGTAGTGGTGGAGATTCTGAGCACATGATTGAGCTCCAATAAAACCTGTCTAAGTTAATACTGTCGAGACCAGAGGTTCTGTATTAAAATAAACGAGATAATAATAAAGAGAGTATCACTAAAAATTTCTCCGTTTGTGTCATTTGTAACATTTCCCCTGTGGCGTTCACGTGGGATAAGATCAATTCACAACCACAATTATAGTCACAAACAAAACCACAACACAATGGCTTCAAAGAGATCCACCAATACAAACATGACCAACGAGGTTCTAATAGCTCTTTGTAACCACAAGAAGAATCCATCGCTCAGTCAAGCAGACTTGATCAAGTGGCTTAAAAAACGCATAACGTTTTTGTAAGTCAAGGAACGATTTCTATTATTTGTACTTCAGACATGGTTTCGAATATTTTTCATATTGTAACCCACTCTGGCAAATTATTACTACTGTATTAATTATTAATTTTTGGAGGTTTATTAATAAATGTATGGAGTCCGACTTGAAACTAGACGGCACATATTAATTATCACAAGTTATTAATTTAGGCAGTACTAATTTAGGTAGGTTATACGGTAGTCAAGATTGATAATAAAATCAATCCTGCTGATGCGTAGACCAAAGTTGATAATTTCAAAAAATTTGGACGACATTATGCAAGTTGTGAATAGGAAAAAAATGTAAAATTTTCTAACATAGTATTTTCAATTATCTCTTTATATATTTACTCTAGGTACCATTTTAGAATTTCACGAGTAATAATTTTATAGATATTGAGATTTATGTTCCCTCTATGCTAGAAAATTTTTAGTTAACTCTTTATGTTATTACTCTATCATGTTATTGTACGACTTGGTTTTAGTTAACTCTTGTGTAAAGAAAGGTACTTGTGTTAGGTTTCTGTCCATAATTTCTCACGGAATAATAATGTATGTTATAGATGTAACTGTTCCTTAACATGAGTTAAGGGGAAGATTGTTCAGGTTAACTCAAGTTAAAGAGTAACATCGCATCCTAACTATTTATAGCTAGGACAATCGTTTGGATTGGGGTAAATACCTTGGCTTTCATCGAGTTCATTGAGTCTTTTCTGGACATTTTCTAGAAGTAAAGTGCAGCGTGTTTTCGGTGGAAGTAGCTCGTTCGAAGGTAGTGAACCACTTTACATCTTGTCTTTAGTGTTTTCAGTCATTTGAGTGTTTTGTATTGTATGATTCAAGTAGAAATCTTAAAGTGTAAGATTGAAAGTTTGACAAATAAATACATTTATGTTGATCTTTTTGGAAAATTATATATCAACGAACTAGGCAACAAAGTTACCCGTTTTGACATTTTTTTAAAATTTTTATCTATCAATGTTATAATTTCATAAAAGTGTATCCTTGACATGCAAGCATTGCATTGGGATTTATGATTTTATATTTTAGATGTGAATCTTATAATACTAGATTCAATTTAATATCCAAATTTAACAAAAATTATAATTTTTTTTAATCAACTTCAAATTGAGCAAGAGTTTCATTAATTTTTTTAATAGATTTATCAGTTTACCAAGCTCATATGCATGTTCAAAATTATTGGACTAGAAGAATATCTTTAAAGTATTTTTCTAAGAAGCCATAGATTTTTATATAAGACTAATCTGACTTGTATTTGTGAAATATTTTGCAACAACAAAATTTTGCATGGATTTTTTCAACAATTTTTGAAGTGTGAGATTTCATTCTAGATCCAACCTGGCTTGTTATATATAGAAGACGTTTTTTATGAGACGATGAATAAGAAAAATTTAATGTTTGCAATCATGTTTGATTGTCAAAATATTGCAAATGAAAAACATTGGTATATCTTGAGATCGTTAGAACTGTGAAGCTATGTGTGATATTCGAATTTATTATTGCAAATAGTATGCTTTTCAATCATTCATGTAATCAAATATACAAAACATGATTATTTATCATCATATATATATAAACAAATGTGAAAAAATATTCCCAAACGAAAAAAGGAACAAAAATATTGCATTTACTTTCATTTAAAGTTACAATAAATGAGACTAAAAATTTTTAAATATATATAAAACTAAAAACATGAACATTGTATCGTTCTGATAGAACTTGAACTCCTACTTGTAAAGTATTAAAAAAACATTTCAATAAATTGAGTGCTTCATTTTGCCCCATTTCCATTATTGACGTTTTCGTATGCACAGTTCTCAATGTTTAGGCTAAAAAACTTCATGCTTGATATATTCTTCACAAACAATTGATATGTTCGTGTCCATTTTTTTTCCTCAGAACTGCTATATAATGTTTCATTTGAATGTCACATAAAAAGTTAACGAAGATCGTCATACACCATCGTCACATGAATTCGGTTTCTTCCATCATTATCATGCACATCATCAAATCCAATGCTAATGCATTCGAAAGACAAGATCGAAGGATAGTCAACAATTGATTGGTGTTACGTATTTATGGTGTAACGTGTTTCATACCATGACCATGTAAAAATCGAATTGAAAATATGATATCGATACAATCAATCAAGAGTCATTTACAGAAAAGAGCTATTACTATGTCAAAGTGAGGGTTTTTAGCCATGTCTTCATCTAAGCATCAAGACATGCTGGGCCAAGCGAGCTGTTACAACGTTATCCACGACTCTCGCGGACGAACGTTCACAGAGATCTAAATCATGAACTGTAGAGAGCTTCAAGTTCAACCTTGTTGACAACCGATGAACAACGTCAGTAGCTGCCAACTAATACCCTTCGATCCGCTCTCGTGATCCATCCACTAACTCGAGGATCTTGCTCTGTGTAAATGCTCAACTTCAAGGCTGATGGTAGTGCAATAACATCCTCACAGTGGCCGAGGTCCATGAGTTGTTTCATGTAGATGCTAACAAGAACTAGCAAGTCCAGCAAACGAAATGTGTTTCGGTACCATCCACTATACATTGAGGACGGAAAGGGAGAGCTGTCAGTGTATGTCCATCCCAAAAACTATATATACTGTAATAATTATGGAATAATCGACTGGCAGTTTCATGGCAATTTGTGAGGCCGTCATCAAAGTCTGGTGTCTAAGCTCTGTGAAATGTACATTTCTTGAAAGTTGGGCAGTCCCCGGTTGAAGGAGAAAATGACCACATCATATTTATCGTGGCGTCAAGGGTACTTGGATCGATAACTTGGACTAACTATTAACTTCCACTTCCATGTTACCACTTACATTAAAGTGAACTTAACAGACCTTCGCAATTTCACGACGTAGCAGATGATAGTAGTTTGGGCTCAAATGTGTACCATCCAATTGAAACTCTTCCTTCAAACTACCTGCAGGGACGACAAGATGTGTGGATGAATATCACTATCGATTCACATTTCCTCTCCGGAATCAATCCCATTTTAACAAAACAAGGGAAAGGGGACGGGTAAACCTTCTGCAGTAAGCAGATCCGCGACGAAGTCCAACCAGTGGAGTCGGCCTCCAATTGCAGGATGAGCTTTCTTGTAAAAGAGCAATCTTTGCTCAAGGGTACGATTAAAAGTTTGTACTAACGGCCTCGTTTCATTAAGCACTGGCGGTATAGGATGCACAAATAGCTCAAACCTCCTCTCTGTGACAAGCTTTTGAAGAATATCTATATACAAGTCCACAGTGGCTTGTACTCCTTCCTCGATATCCTGGAAACGCGTTTAAACAGCTCTTAGTTTCTTCGAAGGACAATTCAGAAGTAAGATCAGAAGATATTGAGCAATTGTAGGAAAATATAAGAATTCGATGCACCATGATTCATGGATATATCTTTACATATTTGGATGGGTGGATGTTTCAATGTATTTCGTGCATCCTCCTGATGGTAACAAGGATGCACCCGAAAATGATTCCACAAGAGGATTTACTCAACAAAGATCATGACTTAGTGATAGCAAGTGTTCGTACCTGATATTTGCCCTTCTCAACTGCTCCTATTATCCCATCTCGACAGTCAATTTCTCCGTATAGCATGACCACTTTGGACACATCTGGAATGCTTTTCATGGTATTTTCGAAAGCAATTTTCGGATAAAAATCACTTTCAGGTCTCAGGTGCCAGATTTTCAAACCTGTGACTAACTTAGGTATAAGGACACAATCTTTACCCCTTAGACAAACCCTTCTCCATGCCGCTGAAAGGCAGTGACTATCCCCAGCCAAAAAGAGAGCATTGGACTTTTCAATCGGTCCGAATGGTAGAGGTATTGGATAATCCTCAAGAATCTGCAAAACATGACAGAAAATCATGATGATATGAAACACTTCCATGTTCTCATTATTTGCTTAAGCAATCATGAGGACAGCATCTCGAGGTCATGAGCAGCAGCCTGTTCCAGCTTCCCAAGTTTTCTCTGGTCAATCTAGAAATTGTAAATAAACTGAACTGGACTGAACAAAAATGGACTAAACTAGCCTAAAACATACTGAGAATAAATGGGCCAGGCATGTCCAACCATGGCAGAGACACATAAACAGCGTTCACAAATGAATGGCTGACATCTAACATAAATTTAAAAATCGAATTGCAGTAAACGAAGACCAACCTGATGCAAACAAGTGAAGTAGGCAGCTTCGTTGCGCACGAGGGTTTGATGTAGAGGTTTGGCGGATGCTGCTCGAGCTGGTTCTACAATCCTTGCTAATCGACTGGCACGTTCAAGAAATCCACTAATGAACAAGATTTTGGTCGCAGTAAAGACCACCGCAAGACTATCAAGGTTGCTTTCGTCGTAGTTACACGAGGTTCCTCTATCACTGCCATCGTTCTCTTGATTATTATTTACCAAAACATGTCTCTCTTGTTCTGCCTGTCAACCACATTTCCACCTTGCAACAAGTTAGCTGGATCTAGATGTCATCGCGACCTATATCGATATAATCTTGACTGCAGAGATTTGCAAATTTGGGCATGAAGTAGCTCCAATGTCGAGAAATATCGTGACCAAGACAAAAGAAAGAAGTACTTAAAAGTATTTCCAAATGGTTTGACAATAAACTGCATGCTCCTTGATATACTACATTTGGAGATTTACCAGAGTGGGAAAAATACCTCAACGTCCCTAGATGGCAAAATACACCATCTTGGATATTCTACTCCTACATGAGATTCTGAAGGATTTGATTCTTGGTCTTGACTGATCCCTTTGTTGTTATCAATGCATTCAATGGCACTTCTGCGAATACATAAGACAGTAATTTAAATATCCAAATATCCAACGTGAGCAAATTATTGCACTTGAACAAAACTTCTTAGATTGTAGAATCAAACGGGGAAGAAGTTGAGCTAGACACCTGTACGACAGATTTCTGATAGAAGATTTTGCATTGCGGAAGAAAGTGACTGCCTTCTCAAGACCTTTGTGATATTCATACGTCACCTACACATTTAAGAAACAAGAGGGATTCTGTGTGTCATGAAAGTTTTGTAGCTTGCAGCTCGTTAGTGACAGAAAGTCCCAGATTACAGTCTTGATTCCTAATCAGTTGATTTGACATCAGATACGACTTTGGTTGATATGTTCATCTGTCCTACGAAATAGACGATTTTGCAGGGTTAAGTGATAATCAAACCAATATGTCAAATGTTTGAATATAGATAATATGTTTAACAGAAACAGCGACAACTCTATCATATCTTCAACTAAAACTTAAACTAAAGAAAGACTAAGAATGTATATCTTGGCAAAATTTCGGGTGATGGCCACAAATGAAGTACACAATAGTTGGGAGGTTCGAAACAACCTCATACAAATGAATCAGACTGAGAAAATAGCCAGGAGTTGAGGGTGACATTGTGCTTGCCATTTCGTACAGTTCTACTGCCTCACTAATTGCTGTTAGAACCAGCTGCGAACATCAGAGTCAGAAAGTTTTTGACGTTTTCGCAATGAGGCTTAAACACTTCTATATGACAAGCTGAAAAGCTGCACGGTGATAATCTCTCATAATGATTTTGTCATATATAATGTGAATGACTTATTCATTGTTAGAATTATTAGTTGGAGATTCGAACTGAATAGTTACCTATGCAAATATGTGCTATTTCTTGACACTATGTTCTTTACCTCCGTAATCTTTGACGCAAGAAGCAATAAACGCAAGGGCAGGAGCTGCCATAGCCTCAGGAGCAAGTTCGTTCTTCAGTGATTCCAAACCTACACCCACAAGGTATCTCAACTTGGTAAGATAAACACGAACGAGACCACATAAGAACTCCACGACCAGAATTGAGTGAAGTGTATGCACAGCATTCAGGTTGGCACTATCTTGCGTAACCTACATTGCAATGTGGCAAGTGCTTTAATGAGTTGCAAAAGTGGCATCTAAAGAGTAGAAGAAGCAGCTTCCTTGAACAGTGTAGGATCCATGATTGTGGCAAAGAATCAAGAAAGTTTCTTCATGATACTATAAGCACGGCGTCTGCTTAAGTCTTGAGAGCAAAGGTCTTCTACTGATGACATTTAATCTTAGATTATAGAATTATTACCTTGCTGGTGCTTCAAAGCTTTTGAAAGGCTCCTCCGAATTTTCTTACTACCTGTGTCCAGACAAAATCACGTGTACACAATTTCCTCAACATTTTAAGCGAAGTTTGTGAACTGATCTAATTGAAAATACTACGACTTATGTATGTAAGAAAAACAAAAGACAGAATTATTACATTTTGATTTTGGTTAGATATAACCTTAGTTAGATATTCTATTTCATTTCGAGTGAAAATTTTTGAGTTACCGAAGGAGTCTCATAACTCATACCAGGAAACGAGACACTGAAAAGATGACATTGGAAAATGTGATGCTGATCACCTACCGGGTCTGGCTATCATAAGCTTGAGAAAGACGGATACTGCATCTTTGATAAGGCCTGGAGATAACATGGATTCACGCAAGAGCTGGTGAGAGTACACGAACCATCAATGTAAATCCGTCAGTAATGTCGCCGACTGACTTTCGATAAGCAAGATCTCGAAGTTGATTTTGTAAGGACTAATTTGACAATGCTGAGAAAAATGCTGCTATAGAGGTTACAATAATGAGTTTAGAGGGAGCTTGCGGATGAGTTGTCTAATACCATGACTAAGCAAGAGACCACCATACTCGTAAAGAGCATCTATATTGCCAGGGCTGTCCTTCAATACTTCCTGCAATGCACTGATGCTTTGAGTTAAACATATAAACTTTCAGGCTATCTTATGTGATAGCTTCGACCTGCTATATCAACTCCAAGATAAGAAATTTGATATTCTGAACAAGTCATATCGTTCACATGGTATTCTGCCTACGCAATTTCCAAATGCAGAAGGTGTTTCTCTATACCATGAGAATAGCGTTGGCGAGACTTCCATTACCCATCTTGCTGAGAACTTTTGCACAAGCAATCTGCCAATATCAAGGACAAATTCTTCACTCCGTTGCAATGTATACCGCTAGTTTGTCCATAAACCTCAATACGAAATGTCACTTGAAATTAAGCACGCAATCAAGCTCACTAAGTTTTTGCAAAACTTTAAGTGCCAATTCCATTTCCACTTTTCGGCAGTTCAGCACTGAAAGGTGTAAGAAAAATATGATCACTGGAAAGGTGAACTTTCTTACTAGCTATTTTATTAGTAAAGGAATCAGGTTTATCATATCATTAGTTACTAGTTGCTATTAGTACCTCATAATGTACAAGTAAATGTGGAGTTAACTCTAGTTGAAGTTTCAGTTGAGTTTTTTTAAGAATTAGGAGTGCTATCTAGAGTATGACTTGAGTGTTGTACTTTGTAGCCCACCTAAACGTAAAGCGGAGTTTATCTTGACTCTTGATGGTGATGATGACCATGTGAGAGGTTTTTTTGATCATTTGCAATTCATTTATGTCTTACTAATATAGGTGAGTAAGGTCTGATTATTTCTCCATCTTTCAGGTTGCCCATCTGTCACAAGAATTCTATCATTTTTTTTACCCAAATCTCGGTGCATATCCTATTGGAAATCAACGTAATAATGTTCCGACCATATCTGGTCATATGAACTCCCTTTAAATTTCTACCACTGATACAACCCTGAAATGTGAAGTAATTATCAGACCTCATTAACCTATTTCGATATAATGTGAATGAAGTTTAACCATGTCACTTATCACACTATATCCTGATTGTTGTCATCAAGCTACAAATTAAACTATAGTCTACTTTCATGTATTCTATGTGAAATAACATAGCAGATAACATAGAAAACACTATAAGAAAACTATTGTTGAACCAGATGATTAGCTAAGTACAAGTATCATCACATTCAAAAATATGTACTATAACTACGAAATCTAAACTATTTGATCAAAGAGTCCACATACTTGATTCTCACTATGTATCTATAGTAAGAATAACAATAATATCAGATTCTAGATATTATTCAACGTTACTATGTTTAAACCAACTCAGAATTTCACTTCCAGTTCTCAACGTTCCAAATCTCAAAAATGTGACCGATAATTGAAGAAATTATCACGAGCAAAATGAACTTTCAAAGATGACGACTTGACTTACAAACGAACGATATATACAACTGTATTTTGAGATTATACACACAAATACCTAACCATAGTGGCTGATGATTCTTTAGCCACATAGTTAACTTTAACAATGTGTTGTGATATAATCTCAAAATAAAGCGTAACAGTAACTCACAGTAAATAAGATTAAGTTTAGGTTAAGAGTTTCCTTGGTGACTGATGAGTCATTAGCTACAACAGATTAGGGTTTCAAATTGATGTCAACCTCAGTAGTTTAGCGTTTCAAATTTGTATCAAACTCAGATCTCAAACTGAAACCTGTATATATTCTGAACCGTTACTTTATTTAACAGTTCAGAATATATAATAAGATAAATATTTTCTTCAGTGTTGAATTGATGTGGAATGAAAGTGAAATTAAAGCTATCGCAGATTTTCGAGTTTATATCAAGTCTGACAGTTAAATAGTTTCTCTGTGCTCTAATCTCAAAATATTACTTCTCGATGCATACTTGAGGGTAAGTGAGAGTGGTAGCTACTTAGAGAAGGAACAAGAGAGTCTTTCCAAGACAACATTAACCATATAACCCTAAACCTCAAACAAATAATTATTTACTTTCTGTATCTCAAAGTTAATCCAATTTACAATTTAATGTTTATACTCTAAATTAATGTACTGTGAGATTACTTATAAAATGCTGTTGATTCATCTATTAACGTTAAAACAAAATGTTTATTTATCGGAGGTGAAAATATTCAGCAAGCAGTCAACTTTACCAACTTTGTTGCAAGTATTTGAAGTAATAGAGACATACCTTGAGTCCGTCCAAGGTTACGGCACCCTGTAGATCTCCAGCATTTAAATCATCGATGTCTGGTTCTTTAATTTGATCCCTCTTGAAAGTTGACTTCACATCAGTGTGATTCTTTTCTACATTCGAAATCGTCTCATCTGCTAAGGTCATTTTGTCCAAGTCGCTGATGGCAGTTAGGGACTGGTTGTCCACTGCTAGGCCAAGTGCACGATCATATTTCTCGAGTGCCTCCTCATACTTGCCAAGACCAGAATAAGCATCACCCAGTCTGTACTTTTGTCAGTCTTCGCTTCTCGTTGCTATGCATTGACCCAGTATAGAATGTACAGCGAAGTGTTGATTTCGAATATTATTTTCTTTCATATGACACTTCAGCGTCACATGTAGCTGAACCAAGAACTTCAAGGCAAAGTCATGAGTTCAACGTAAACACTACCGTGTGTGGAATAGTGCGTCATTTGGATATTCTCGAACTCCTTCCTGTAACCAATTGACAGCTTCTGGATAATGATTGATTTCCAAAGCCATGGCCCCTGATGTGGACAGAAACAAAATTTAAGAACCTTTGCAGCATATGTGACGCGATTTAAGGAAGAGCATGTATATGAATCACACATAATGGAGAAACACGGGGAAATTTTCAAGAAGAAGAATCTACCTAAAGCGCGAAGACAAATTCTTTGCTTTGGTAACACCTGTAACACCTCCCGAAAAATGGTTCCTGCAAGCTGAATAAACGAAAACATGAGAACTATTATACGCGAGAAAGTGATGGCTGCCCTTGGTAAAGCCAGCTAGCATCAAGCGTTCTTCCTATGCGTGTCCGTTAGCTTGATCTTTCATTTAACAAGGAAATTTTTCCCAACTACTTCAAGTAACCTAGACAAGTACGAGACTGGTGCAATTACCTTGAACCGTTCGACATGCTGAGCTTTAAGTGCTTTGGTGAGCAAACTCCGAATCAATGGCACCTTCAGTTCCTATAACAACAAAACGAGGCCTTCAGATACACCAATCTGTTCATGCGTCCAAGAGAGCAAACGCAAAGAAGGGGTTACTCTTGAATACCAGTAAGACCGATAATTCACTCCCTCATAAGCAACTAAAATTGACACCATGTTGGGAAAGGCACATAGTTATACCACAGGATCAAGAACCTTCAACAATTCTCTCTCGACTATGATGTTCATGCCTTAAACTAGATCGGGTAATAAAAGGAAAACTTACAAAAGACCTGTGAGAGGATGTAAGTTTGCAGACAAGAATGAAGAAAAAGATTAGCAAAAAATTCAGGAAACTTAAACTTCGTCTACACCTTGGCTGATTCATAGTCATACTACTGACACATGTAGGCAACCACATAACTGTTGTTGAATGAATAAAGGCAAAGGAGCGAACCTCAGCTACTCTTGGAACTTGCATGTTCGGAGTGCTGAGCCTTTCTGCTGTTGATACTTTAGACTGCATCATGTTTTGCTGCTTGGAACATCCCTCGTCGCTCTCATTATCCACGTACATGGGAAAGCGGTTAGCTTTCAAAAACTCAAGATTTCTCATCCAGTCAGCATCGTGGTAAGACCTTTGATGCCGAGAAACAAAGCTTCGACCTCTCTAAGGGTATTTTTCAAGACATAAAGCACACCATTAAATATCGCACTTCGCTGATAGATGTCATTACGCCATCGATGGATTCTTCGCCAATTGGAACCAAAATATCAGGTCTACGAGAAGAAAATTGCGATCGTATATCAGTTATCAAGGGGTATAGTTAGTGAGGAAGGCAACACATCATCTTCTATCGGAGGAAACCGGCATTCATCTCCTAACATTTAACGATGAGATGTGTTTAAATGAAGGCTATAAAGCACATTTAGTGAGCTGTCCGAGATGCGTCTTCTTCTTATATCTGTCCTACAATGCTTTTAAATGCCCAGTGATGGTGAAAGCTACGACCCCAAAAGGCGAAGTTCGAACGTGATCAAAAAACATATAGAAGAAAACTTTACATGACTGCCCTCTACATCTTGATTTCGTATGAGTGCCAGAAGCAATAACCGTTTCTCACTATGAAAACAAGAGAACTCGGGCCCTGGCTCTATATGAAAATTGAGTGAAGAGAGAATACGGATAGAAGTAGATGGTAAATGAAAGACGACTACAAGAGAATGAAGGTCTCTCTGATATTACCCCATGCTAAGAGAGGCTCGGAGATTCCAGGTACTTTAAGAGAAAACATTAGAAACTCCCGTCTAATGCTGATCTTACTCCTATTAGAACTATGCTGAAAGCATTGTACGAGTGACTGTCAGCTGTAATGCTTCCATTCTGACATGTTCGTTCCACACTGCTGCTCCTTATTATAGTATGCGACGAGGGGTATCAAGGACGACTGCGTGTATCGTTTCAGGGTGATGTCCCAACAAAAATAGATCCGGAATTTCCTGTTTGTGACTTTTCTAAACTTCTTTGTCTGTGCAAATTCTCCAGACACTCTTGTGACGATTGAAGTCCTTGGTCAACTTAGGAGGAAGCACTATTATTTGCTTGCCTAAACCCTAGTCATCCGTTGGTCATTTGCCTCAAGCCGACCATTAAAGATCCATTCACCTCATTTCTGCACATTTGCCTCCATGTGAGGCATGAAGGCACATGTCAACGACAGCTGGTTTTCGTGAGGGAGACAATTTGCTGGACATGTCCTCTGTTTCTTCCAGTCCACAGAAGCCACCGGCGAGCATTGATGCTCTCATTGCAGTCTCCCCCACACAGATACCCAGACAGCTACCTCCATCGTTTCCACTAAAGGGATCACGGATATACCCATAAGGGTCGGGGAGGTGGGACAGCCTTGGGCCACTCCCTGCTATACCTCCAAAATCCATTCCGTTGGCCGTCAATCAACATTGCATTCCGCTGTTGTCGTGTACATCTTGCACAACCCTTGAAATTGGATTCCCACGGCCAGCGTTCCAATGACCGTGAAGAGAAAGAAGAAAAGAAAAATTATCGACTTTCCTAACCTTGTCACCGGCGATGCTCGCGTCTGCAAATGCAGAAGAAGCAGAAAGCCCTCGAGCACAAAAATTGCGTATCCAAGATACTTGGCATGCGCAGAAACAGAGTGATCCCCGAAGTTCACAGCGACCAGAGAGTTTCTGTACAACTAACAACCTCTCTTCGAGATGACAAAATTACTGGATCGAAGGATTTGACAAAAGAAGAGAGAATTGACAACATCACAGCAAGAACTGTCGACTCTGCAAGAAATCACACGCAATTACCTTCCACAAATAAAGCAGACGCCCGCCGGGTGAAACGACGATGACTTGCCCTGTCGCCGGTCGAGGTCGGAAAAAGCTGGCTCGGAAATTACAGCATCGTCACAAAAATGCTGGCAGCTGTGAAGGCAGACACATATTCCGTTACAGCAAGAAGCAATCGATATACCGATACAAGAAGAAGTATAAATTTGTAATCGCAAAAATTTCACATTCATAACATATACATAAATTTAACACTGGAATTTTACGTTTTAAAGAAATGTTGACCCTGTATCGCACTCGAGAACCAGATCCTGCCGAGCCTTGACGACGACGCACCCACCTTCGCTACACAAATTCGACTCATCGATGTCCGCAAGAAGGATCTTTGCACGAGAAATTGAACCCGGCGTACAATGCTGCTCCTGGTGGCGCAATCATTGTCCTCCACAAAGACCGGGGCGACCGACAGATCAGACCTGCCGGTTAATTCTAGATAGACGAGTTTGTTTGGGTGAATGGATCACAGGCAACAAAAGTTGTGAAGAGTATTATTGTGACAGCAGGCTACGCCAGAGGAGAAAACATCGATAAAAATGAATGAACTTTCAAAAGTCAAATGGCTTATGGAACCAGTGAGTACACAAGATGGAGATGATTCTGAATATAAGTCAGAGTAAATATACGGTCAGACTTAAAACAAATTTCTCTTCTTCAGAGCATAGATTTGATCCTGATGATACATTCATATCACTTGTTGTTATGTTTAGAGTTTATATAATTTTTGAAAAATTACTGTACAATATGAAGTTAAGATACATCATTGTTTAACTCGTATGTACACTAGTTAAAAAATCAGTTTTATGGCTAAAACAAGCACACAGCGCATGTTACTCAGAGTTTGAAATGTCCGAAATCAAATCGAGATCCAAGGTTTGTTAATTTATTTATTATTTGTATGACATATGCACTTTCACGTTCAAAATAAACTTCTTTGTGTTTCTCTATTATATTTCATTATTTACATATTTAAGAAGTAATGAGAGCGATGGCACGCTCCGGGAAAAATCCTCAAAATCTGGCCAGTTTAATGTGGGAAGCCATCGTAAAGGTTCGGTTCTGCCTTCCAGAAGCGTTATAAGGCCCTGGACAGCGGAAGGAAGCTCCGGTTCATCGTATGCGGAGTACATTCCTCGTGTCTCAAGTTCAGCAGCGTCAGTGACGATGTTCGCAACTGCACTTTCCATTCTCTCCTTCACTTTCACAAAGTAAGAAACGTTTGCTACTTGGAAAGCGCTATCGAAATCTAACCAGCCCTTTCTCCATTGGAAAAAATCTGAATTTCCCTTCGGGAGACACAAAGTAAAAAGACACATCGCGCCATCGCGAAGATGCAACTTGGGTCTATGTTTTGCGATGTTCTTGGCAAAATTTCAGTCGGAATGCTGAAATAAGCGTATAAGCAATACAAACTTGTCAATCCATCATCGGCTGAGCAACATTAGTGTCAACTTTTTTTTTCAATAAGAATGAGCATTCCGGGTCGTAAGCTTCTTTGTCGGTGGACGAGTTTGATCAGCACTGGTGGTTAGTGCAATCTGCGCGTGTTACACAAATTGAGGCAACACCGACTCTGGATGCTACACTAAGGATGATAACTTATAAATATGCCCACTCAGCTCCAAACCGTGAGCGCGTGCTGTTTGATCATGTCAACGCAGTACTTGCGGTTGAAATACAAGAGCCTACGAGCGCACCAACGTGCGGTCAACCGACCAGTTCAACATGAATGATGATTTCCGAGTTTGAGCACATTTAGGCTCAATGCAAGCAATTGGGGCATAATGTTAAATTGAGCAATACGCACTATACAACGTTCAAATTCTTGCTTGTGCTCGATATGTTGTTGTTTCTATTCCACCAACACATGAAGAATTACCTATTTTAGATGTAGCACCCTACATACTTGCGTATGATATGCAAAACTAGTAATAATTAGCATAAACTAAAGTATAATTAAAATCTCCAAAAGATATACTTCAAGTGTACTATATATTGTCATTTTAGTTGTTTAAGTTAAAGCTAACGCAGTAATAATCTGCATGAATAATATAGATCAATTCATTCAATAAATGAAAATACATTTTTTTTGTTTTAAATTGCTACATGTGCGGAAAAATATCCAAAATTTCAGAGCAATTTTTTTTTTCAACTATTAAACTTGATTAAATAGGTTCAATCAATGTACTTGTTTCATGCTTCAAACAATCAGATTTTATCTTAATAATATCATGAATATCCATTTAAGTGATCAATTTCTTTCACCATAAATAATATTTTAAAATATGTATGGTAGATACATAAAATTTAAATTTCTCTAACAAGCTTCAAAATCAAGTTATGGATGTAAGTTTGTGTGAGTCAAAAGGAAAGAAATATCTTGGATATATCATAATCAAAATTGATGATGGAAATCATAAAATTTTAAAAAATATTTTTTCATCCAAAAATTATGTCTTAATTTTTTCTCACAGATAATGGTATTAACAAATATCTTTCAGGTGTATTTCGGTGTCCATTACCGATTAAAAAAATGCGCTATGATGACATTTTGTAAGACTTTTTTTTGGAAAGATTAACAAATTTGTATTTTTTAGAATTGAGATTGATTTACCAGATTGGTTTTTGATATGATTCAAAAATATTCGTTAAATTCCAAATTTTGAATACAGTATTGTTTTGTGTATTTTTCGTATATGAATATGAATTTCGTTATAAGATTGAAATTAAATATAACAAGCTTCACAAGTTGACATTCCTAACTACTTTTATAAAATCATAATGTAGCTGAATTCCCTCACAATAAAACTTAACGGGTCTATTTTAGAAGAGTGACACATATAATACTTATGAGCCTACAACCAATGAGGATATTTTGTACTTCTGAATTAGACATGGGTTTTTCATAAAAAATTCATTAAATCTAAAATATCTCCAGTGATTTTTCAATATTATTTTCAATCTAAATTTTTATCATATACAAATTGAGATTTCTTTAAATGTCGTCTGTACTCTCACTTAAGTGATCATGTGTGTCAAAAGAGAATTATCCTTCCTAGATATGTATACATGGCTTGCTATATTCGTTCTTGTAAGCATTTAGAAAATTGCTTAATATGTTTTCTATCATTGGCTTGCATAATAATATTAGATCTAAAAACTTAGAAGCATGAAAGAGAAGCAGAAAGAAAAAAACGAGCGCATATGCCGTGTATTGGGATTGGGATTTGTTGATGGGCTTTGAAAGAATAAGTTTTGAAACTTCGTGATTGTACTCAATACTCCAGAGAATAAACGAAAATTGTAAAAAATGTTATTAATCTTTCGCATTTGATGATACGAAAAAAAAACTTCAGGAGGTGCAGCAAACAGAATTCTGGATTAAAAAATAAAGAATATAACAACATCCATGCGCACGACGACGTTTCAAACGATACCTTTCATGATCGAATCTCGAACAAAAGGAAACAAAGACATGTACTCGAATTGCTACAATTCTGATTCTGATTACTTCTGTCTAACAGTCACAATGCATGTCAATGCTTTGCCAGATTTCCATCTGCGTTTCCCACCTGTCGAATCAAACGACTTCTGATTTCCTCACACGCCCCGAACCCCGAAACTGGAGCCGAACCGCTCCATCCCATCGACAGCTGAAATACAATGGGCAACTCTTTGTTCGATCGAAACCAATTTCCAACACGAACTTAACAGAAATTCTGTCGATTGAGACGTGAACGAAATTTACGAACGAGATTCCTTTGACGGTTTACTGACCAAAGCGTGCACGAATGAATCTCCCACTTAAACTCGTTGCGTGAAACGCACATCGTTCTTTCCAACACACGACGGGGTTCTTAAATTTTGCCGCAAGAAAGGAAGGAAGGAAGGTCAGGAGGTACCTACCGATCAAAGTACCAAATTGGAGCACCAGGAACTTGTACAAGGGAAATCTCGGCGTCACTTCCATGCAGAGCACGTGAGGCCCTAAATTTCCAGTCTCGACGAAGGAGTCTGCAGATCGATGGACCTCGGTCTCTTCGTCTGTCTGCGTAAGACTCGGAATCGGATTCTCGAATGCTGCTGATGTTGCAGTGGCAGGAGGGGAAGTCCTGGGGCCGAGCCTGCACGGACTCATAAGAGTCGATAATACTCAGAGGGAGGGCATTGTGCCCAAAAATAGGTGAGCCGCTGCCGCCAGTGGCTCGAGGTCGGATCCTGTGCTTCGCGCCCTTGGAGGCTAGCTCCTTATGACGGGCATGCGACAAAGTGCGAAGGCTGCTTACAGCTCGGCACGAACGGTGATGTGGACACGTTGTTCAACGGAGAGCCGCTCCACAAGTGGACAGATCGGGACAGTGCGTTGACTCGGTGGGGGGATAGAGAAAGAGTTGGGTTATCGGAGGATAGGCAAGCTGCGAGTGAGGACTAGGTCGTCGAGTCTGATAGGTCAAATGTGCATAAGATCCGGGATCGATGCATAGCGGGGCTGAATCATTGCAGCCACTGGCAGAACAGAGGACCAGGGCGAAGCTGCACGTCGAGTCGAGTCCCGACGAGATCCTGTTGTAGCTCTGTGCTTCCGTCGCTCGACATTGGCTGCCTGCCTGCCGCTGCTGCCGCTGGCCAGCGAGCGAGGTGGACGAGGACTTCTCATAGCGCGGTTCTGCTTCGCAAACGATGCCTCGGGAGGTTGGACTGGAGGCATGCCGTTTCATCGAGCTGGATTTCGACGCTCTGATGCAACGAACGTGAAATCGGAGCTGAATTTGCTGGTTTGAGCTCTCGTCGGTCGAGCTGCAGACTTCAGATATCACCGGCGAGTGGTCACTGGGTCCGTAGGGTGGTGACAGAATCGGACTCGGACTGGCGAGTGCTGCAATCGAAGAGAGGACATAGTTGCTGACGAGCTCGGCTGCTGAGGAATGTACACCGCACACCTGGTCCGGTTCGAGTTCCCCTCGGAGTCGGCTTCTCGAGAGATCCGAGCCTGAAATCTCTTCGTCACCAGCGGACGAGCAATGTGCACGGCCGTCGCCAGGACGCGGACATGCGCAGCTCGGATTTCAGAAGCGCTGCCACCACACGGTCGTGGTTGACGAGGGATTGATCGCCAATTTGAGAACCAGCTCTGAGAAAATTCGGATTACTGACAGCGGAGGGCGAATCGGAGCAAAATCGAAGGCCATTCCTTCGAGAGAATGACACGGTCGCGCCGTTCAGTCGAACGGCGACAGCCCGGATTTCAAGTCTGGCCCGTCGTCGCGGTGGGGATTCTTTTGTGGGCGTGCGTAGCGGAGCCGGTCGTGGCTCAGGACATAACCGGTGAGTCCCTTCCCTTCCAGCTTCTCTTCCTTTGCATTCTCACGGCAATTTTCGCTAGCCATGACGCGAGTCCGGTCGCGGGTCGCGGGTCGCAATGTGCATTGGCATGGGGCTCGTGCTCGGGCTCGAGGGTCGCAGGGTCAAAATCTGGGGTCCGGTGGAAATTTGGGTGAGCGGGGGGCCGATCGTCGTGAGGTCGGAGGCTGAGTCGCGAGAGTGTGGGCGTCGCAGGGTACGTGAGCATCGACTGCGGGGGCACCGGGGGCGTGGACCCCGTGACGCTGATGGAGTGGGTGAGCGACGACGGCTTTCTGGACTCGGAGAGGCAGCTCGTGAACGAGAGGGTCGCGGTGCGGGCGCGAGTTCGGCTCAACAGCGCGAGGCCGGAGGCGCAGGACAACGCCGAGCAGCTGAAGACGGCCATGGTGTTCGTGCCGGGCGCGAGGGCCAAGTCCAAGTACTGCTACAATCTGACCGTGGCGCACGACGCGACCACCTCGACGGACTACCTGGTGCGCGCCATGTTCCCCAGCCGGGCCCTGACGGCCGAGGGCAATGTGCCGCTGGACGCCTACGGCTCGCGCTTCTACTTCACCGTCGACTCGACCTTCGTGTCCACCATCGACCTGGACCCCTCGGAGGCGACGACCGTGGAGATGGTGGTGAGCTCGCTCGACACGAACCTGTTGGTGTGCCTGGTGCCTCTGGAGGATCGCTCGTCCATGGCGGCCATCTCGTCGCTCGAGCTGCGTCCCCTCAATGGCACCCTGTACAGCAATCGCGGCAGCGCCAAGTCCAACACCGGCACCACCACCAAGATGCAGTCGAGCTACCTCGTCACCGTCGCCCGCTTCAATTTCGGCGGCAATGAGTCCTCGCCCTCCGTCAGGTACTCCTCCTCGCAGCGAATCCTTTTCTACGGTGCCCCTTCATCCTCGTGTATACTCGAGCCAGCCCCTCGAAGGCCCATGAATCAATCGAATTAATCGAATTGCTCGAATCGATCGAATGAATAGAATGAATCGAACCACTCGAATCTATCGAATGAAGAGAATGAATTGAAAGAATCGAATTACTCGAATCGATCGAATGAATAGAATCAACTGAATTAATCGAATGGATCGAAACAATGGAATTTGTGGACCCGTGGCAAGACGACGAGTCTGATCCGGCGGTGCAGGTACCCATCCGATCCGTACGATCGGCTGTGGCAGGCGGGGCGACTGTCCAAGCAGGCGTTGGGCGAAGTGGGAGCGAGGAGGAGGATGGGCAAGGTGCAGATGCGCCTGGAGGTGAGCGACGACAACGACACGCCGGGCGAGGTGCTGGAGACGGCGTGGGAGGGCGAAAGCATGGCGTCCAAAATCACCTTCGAGTTCGACATCAGGGGCGCGCAGGCCGTGCGCCCCTTGCCCACCTTCTTCCTTACCATGATGTTCTTGGACGTGGGGCCTGAGCTCGACGCCGGGGCCCCGCCCAAGCCTCGGCTGGTGTACGTGGACCTGGTCGACTACAGTCCCGAAAGCGCGTCCTCAGTGCGCTGGATCTCGGGCACCACCGTCCAGCACAACTTGACCACGCGATGGTACAACTACAAGCAGCTTTTCTTCCACAACGAGGCCAGGTTCACCGTCTCCGCCGATGTCAACAGCAGCCTCCCGGCCATGATCAACTCCTCGCAGCGAATCCTTTTCTACGGTGCCCCTTCATCCTCGTGTATACTCGAGCCAGCCCCTCGAAGGCCCATGAATCAATCGAATTAATCGAATTGCTCGAATCGATCGAATGAATAGAATGAATCGAACCACTCGAATCTATCGAATGAAGAGAATGAATTGAAAGAATCGAATTACTCGAATCGATCGAATGAATAGAATCAACTGAATTAATCGAATGGATCGAAACAATGGAATTTGTGGACCCGTGGCAAGACGACGAGTCTGATCCGGCGGTGCAGGTACCCATCCGATCCGTACGATCGGCTGTGGCAGGCGGGGCGACTGTCCAAGCAGGCGTTGGGCGAAGTGGGAGCGAGGAGGAGGATGGGCAAGGTGCAGATGCGCCTGGAGGTGAGCGACGACAACGACACGCCGGGCGAGGTGCTGGAGACGGCGTGGGAGGGCGAAAGCATGGCGTCCAAAATCACCTTCGAGTTCGACATCAGGGGCGCGCAGGCCGTGCGCCCCTTGCCCACCTTCTTCCTTACCATGATGTTCTTGGACGTGGGGCCTGAGCTCGACGCCGGGGCCCCGCCCAAGCCTCGGCTGGTGTACGTGGACCTGGTCGACTACAGTCCCGAAAGCGCGTCCTCAGTGCGCTGGATCTCGGGCACCACCGTCCAGCACAACTTGACCACGCGATGGTACAACTACAAGCAGCTTTTCTTCCACAACGAGGCCAGGTTCACCGTCTCCGCCGATGTCAACAGCAGCCTCCCGGCCATGATCAACTCCGCCGAGCTCCTCGGGGAATTCGACGCCGTGAATCAGAGGACTGCACCCGTCGATGGTAAGTAGGTCCGTCTCGTTGTCGTTGCGGGGGGTCGGCTGGATACTGCTGTGATCCCTCCACACATTTGCAAAGCATTGATACCATCCTTTCCCTGATGCAATTAATACTTTGGTATAGAATATAATGAATCCCACATTCAATCTAATTGGCGTAGAATTCGATAGTTTCGAAAGGGATATCAAACACATCAGATTCGTTATTTAGAGTGTGGGAGAGCAGCGACGATGGATGTCAGTGATGTGAATTGATGGGATGGGGGTGATTTGGGTGTCTTCCACTGAGACGACGATGCACGGGAAGTTGGCTTAATGATTTCGTGCCCCATTCGACATGTTCAGCTTCGGCGATCACAGATTTCTCCGAACGCTTCGAAAACCTCGTCGATACGGCCGGCGATCCGTGCTTGCCTGTCCCGTGGGACTGGCTCATGTGTAGCATCGAGATTCCTCCCCGGATCACACAGATGTAAGTACCCTTCTCGACCTTCGAAGTGAGGTGCTTTGAAAATCGCCGAAGTTTGCATTTTCTGACAAATTTGGTCTCCTCGTCCTTCTGCGGTTGACAGAAACATAACGGGTGACGTGGTGGCTGGAGAACTGAACGCCAGAGTAGGAAACCTGAGTCGCCTCACGGTCTTGGATCTCTCAAATAACCAATTCAATGGCAGCCTGCCAGAATCCCTGGCGCAGCTTGTGACTCTAAATGCACTGTAAGGGGCTGTACCCTTGCCATTCTGTAATCGGATTTGTCCAGGTTTGAGATGCAAGTTCATGTGTATTGCCTTGAGACTTGCACAAGTTCTGACGGAGAATATGCCGTTGTCTTCGACTCTCGTCCGAATTCCAATTCCTGATGCTCAGCCCATGTCCTGTAGGGATGTCGCAAACAACTCCCTGTCCGGTGAACTGCCAGCATTCGAACCGAAATCGCTGAAAAACCTGCAATCCGTGTGAGTATATGCTCCGAGTCACTTCAGGCTATCAGTCCCGGTCAGTGGCCAACGTTTATCGCGGAAGTTCAAGTTCCTCGGTGAAGATGAACTTGGCCGAGTAAAATTGACGAATCATTGAGTTGAATGAAGTATTCTTATTCTTATTAGTTTATTTCTATTTCCCGTGGCTCGTCATAGCTTCTGTATGCAGCTGTATATTACTCTCGTTTAGAGCATGACCTGTTTGTTACTTACATCTGCAGAACACTCCGCTCCAATGCATTCAGCGGCAGCTTGTCGGATCTTGTAAACGCACTCGATACTCCAGTCTCTGATATGTAAGTTTGAAGTCGTGTTCTCCTACTTCTTTCCATGTTCCGGGGACCGTCATTTCTCCACTGAAAACTCTAGCACCTAGAAAGGCACAAGTATTCTTTCGGAAATCCTCAAATTCCTAGTCGAATCTTGACTGATCCAACTTCAGGCAGAGGCCTTTGCGATCCACCAGCTGAACAACTCAACGCTTGCTACGTTTGCTACACTTTGCAGGATTCGCCCCTTATGTTGCTGGCAAACCCTTTCTTCCCCTTCCCTTGTCCTTGCTTGTTCATTTTTTGTTCGAAACCGATCGGTCCTCAACAAGAACTCGTTTATCCTCAAGTGACATCTGCCATCTCGACAGAGCTATGGAAATTCAGCATTTGCTTTCATCTCTAGGCGTATCGACACGTGACGAGCGTCCAACAAAACATGATTTGCCTCGAGTCAGTAGTCAGAAGTTGTCGACAAATCTGAAGTTACGCCATACTGTAGTTGTCTACTTTAAACCACGAACCCTTGGACAACATCTCTTGTTTTGTGATCTCTATCCCAGTTTTGTATATGTCCCCTTCTCGAGTCTCAGTCTCCACTATTGCTTTTTCGCTTCGTAAGGCAAAAGCAATAGTTCGTGGATCACGTTATGTATTTCGAACTACGAAGGAACTGACTCAAGAAGTATTGATTCAATTTTCAGGGACCTCAGCTTTAATAATTTCAGCGGTGCCATACCCATGGAGATAACGAACCTGAAGAATCTGAAAAGCTTGGACTTGTCTAACAATCAACTCTCTGGAACGCTGGATAGTGGGATTTTTAATCTCTCGAAGCTAACCACCTTGTGAGTGCAAAATTGCATATTTTCTGCTTCGAGACTATGTTAATGAAATAGCAGTTTCATTTTCATTCGCCAGTGAATCGTACACTCTCTTGAGTCTCATGAACACCGATCTTTCATGTCATTTAAAGTTGCTTCATTCTTCCATTTTTGAACAGGAATTTGAAGAATAATTCGCTAGAAGGTATGGTGCATGACGACCTGTGGAAAGAGTCGAGACCTGTGGAAGTGTAAGTGTAGCCATCAGAAGTTGTGAGCTTTGTAATTAGCTTTGTGATCATTTCGGTCCATTTTCCATCACATTGTAGATCCAAGTTGAAGGTTTTTTTTTTATATATATATGTACATTCACACACGCGATTAGGGAGGCTCGATCAGCATGATATCATTTATGTGTATGTTACGAACAGTTGTCCTATCCAAGCTGGTGAGGGAAGTGCTCAGAACCTGTGATTCAGAAGCGAGACATCCTACTTGGTCTGGTTTTATCTTCAAGAATGAACTACTCGTCATTCCTATATCTGTTCCTAAGATGTTTTCAGTTTGGCAGCGGAAAGGATGTTGGATCTTTTTAGAGTGGATCAAATGATATTCTATAGCTCTCTCCACAACTCTGAGACATGCCTTCGAATACTTTCGTCAGAGATCTGAAATCAAGTTGTGTCTCCGTTTTCAGGGCTCTCGACGACAACAAGTTCACCGAGATAAACCTGACAACATGGGGCCAAGCGCAGAGGTTCTATGAATTTAAACAACGGGTGTCGTTGGTCCGAAACACAATCAGGAACGTCATATTGCCTTCACATGTTAATTTGAAGAACTCAGATCGACGATCGTGGGAAATGTTGCCAAACCAAGGACACATTCTGTAAGAACATCATACTCTTAGCATATCATCAACCACTCGTGTTACAAGCGCGCTGTAACGATGTCCAGTGAGTGTAGCGTTTACATGGACGTGAATTGTGTGTGCGTACTCTGAATGAGCTAAATCTGCCGGACTTACTGTTTTGTTGCTCGGACAGACTTGGAGGAACTCCTTGGTGCAAACAAATTGGAAGGAATGCCTCATTGGTCCAAAGATATCTCTGTCGAGAAGATGAACGAGTAGACTTCTGGATGCCTTACAGTAAGAGCACGAAGTAAACCTTAAACATTATCTGAGAGGATTTCCAAAAGTAACATCTTTGATTATGTTTGAGAGCCGTTTAGTGCACTCATGGAGGTCTAACTGATATACGATTTGTATTCACAGCATTGCGTTATGGTTTGATGCAGCTGCAGATAAGAATGGTGTGAGCACAAGAACGCTTGTAATTATCGGAGTGGCCTGTGGACTTCTGGTCCTCTTGATGGGTTTCATAGTTTTCGTATTTATGTGGAGAGTGTGGAAACGGATGCTCGATCTCCGCCAGATACAAGAAGGTTGGTGCAGGGCAGCATTCCAGCAGTTTGACAAGCAACTGTCTCAATTGGGCTTTGGAAGATCGAATACATATAGCTTATGTTTGGGGCTTTTCCTGCCTAGGATCTAACATGTGGAACTGTTCGCATCATGGCAGCACTAGCTAAAGACGACGTGAGGCCACCATTTTTCAAGTATGAGGAGCTCAAAGCGGCTACAGGAGATTTTTCAAAACGCAATGAGCTGGGCAAAGGTGCATTCGGTGCTGTGTACAAGGTATGCATGGCCTTGAAAGATTGTTCATGTTGATCAGAATCTTCTAATATGTCAGTTGATCTTCTACTGGCACAGCCTGGAGCTTGTTTATCATGATGAAGAGATGCAACAACTACTACGGGATCGCCCTCAGCTTCCCTGCACTAATTGGTCGTTGCTGATGGCATATCTTGCACTCGACGCACCATTTTGGGAGCATGCAGGCTAAGCTAGCGGACGGGAGCATCGTTGCTGTGAAGAGACTTTTTGCAACCGAGCAGAACGTGGCCGATTTTCTCAAGGAAATGGTTCTCATCACAGGAATCAAACACCGACATCTCGTTCAGCTCAAAGGATGTTGTGTGAGAGACAAGCAGCGGATGTTGGTATACGAGTACGCAGAAAACAATAACCTGGCCGAGGCCTTGTGGGGTACGTTCTTCTCCGGCCATTGAGCGTTTCTCATGTTCCTCAACAGGTTCCGAAAGCTGCCGAGGAGATTGTTCTAATCTACATTCATTAGTCGCCTGGATATGGAGAAACTAGGTCCACCTCAAGGTCCTCGGACAAATCATGTCCAAAGTCTCCGCACCTTGTTCTTTTTGCAAATCCATCTCGAATTGTCTTGACACTCATCTACTTCTAGGTCTGAAGTTCGAGTCTCACCTTCTAACCAACTCTCGACATCTCCGAATGCAGGCAAGGACAAAGCCTTCGTCCTGACTTGGACGCAGCGGTTGAACATCGCCGTGGGCATTGCTCGTGGTCTTTCTTATCTACACGAAGAACTGCAGCCGAAGATCATACACAGGTCAGAAACCCCTTCCTCCTGCTTCTGGTACACGCACGCATGTTCATGGTTTTCCTGATCAGGAGGCGCACCTTCGAGTGCCGTCCAAAGTTTCTCCGAGAAAGAGTTTCTCTGACACATGTGACGCTGGATGGGCTCGACAGAGACATCAAACCGCAGAACATTCTTCTCGACAAGGACTGGAATGCGAAGATTGCCGATTTCGGACTCGCTCGGCCTGTGAACGAAGACGCCACGCAGATGGCCACTCACATCGGAGGCACGCTGTAAGTTTCCTTCCTCCTCCGGAGCTGCTGATGTGCAGCCATCGTTGTGCAGGGCCTTCGTCATCATGATGTGAAGCACTCGTCTCCATCACCAGTGCGCCTAACAGGTTGTCGTCTGCGTGATGACGCAGGGGTTACTTCTCCCCGGAGTACGCGACTCTCGGCATGTTCACCGAAAAGCTCGACGTGTACAGCTATGGCGTTTTGCTTCTCGAGATCGTGTCCGGAAGGAGATGCATCAATTTCTCTCTGCCTGAGCACGACGTCTCTCTACGAACCGTGGTAGGCCCTTGAATCTGTGCAACACTATCACCTTTTCTCGTCCGTGCAGCTTTTTCAGATGGGGGGTTGGGGGTTGGGGGTTAGGAATAGCGCACATTGCGTTCCGTAGTTTGATTCGATGCGCTCGACGACCGCCTTTACATTCCTGGCGTCATTGCAAACTGCTGCAGGCTTTAAGGTTGTACATGGAGGACAAGCTTCTGAATGTGGCGGAGAGCGGATTGCTCGCACAGAGTCCTGGAGACGAAATCACTTCCGTGCTGAAGACGGCATTGGCTTGCGTTCAGGAGGATCCGAACAAGCGGCCCAGCATGTCACAAGTCGTGAACATGCTGACGGGCAACTCGGGGGTGGCGTTCGACATCGTCAAGGAGCTGAAGGAACAGCGCATGTGGCTGCAGGATGTCGATGATGAGTCCACGCTCAGCAGCCTCAGCGATCTGCGAGAAAGGGAAGATCGTTCTCTGCTTTACTCCTCGTCGTCGTCCGGCGGTGCATTACGGACTACCCAGCTCAGCGACATGAAACCTCGGTGACCACCGAGAGCCATGAATTAGATCACTCAGTGGGACGAAGTTTTGCACCTTGGGTTTTGTTTTGCTTTGATACTTCTTTTCATCTGAGGGGTGCTCGAGCCGCCCTCGGCTGTCGTCAGTAGGACCTGTACATTCTTTCTGCGCGAATCAGCTTGCGAGCTATTTATTCATCGGACGACTCAGAGAAATTCGGGATCTGGACGATAATAGTGGAAAAAGCTACCGGATGACTCTGCTAGACGACTTCGATCACTCTGTTCTCACCCTCCCACGTACTTTCGCAATCACCCGAATCTAGAACGGATGCATGCCATCGAAGTGTACTTTACAAATACTGTACTTTTAATCAAATTCCAAAGTACTTCAATTTCAGTCTCGAGAATTTATGTCTTTTCTTAAGTCTGGCTGACTCAAAGTGGAAATGGAGACGCATGGAATACAAGTCGCCATTCCACATTGGCTAAAAACACAACACATGCGAAAGATATTCATTACCGTGAATATCTATATCTAAATCTATATATATTTTATGAAAGTCACTCAAGAACTGGTCCATCGGTCAGGCATTGATCGAGTCCTGGAGATTCCAAGTAAAGCTGGTCGACGAACATCAGCGGATATGGGGGCGAAGTTAATGGCGGAAAGGACGATCGATTGTCTCGACCCACTACACTACTGTCCTCCAGCTTGCCCACCCTCGTCACGAAGGGCTCCCCACTTTCGGGGGAACGCGATGTCTGCCCGGGAGGGCTTTCTGCCCGCCCGGGCCCCAAGCCCGGGGAGGGCCTGCAAGCCCAACCTCCCGCTCCGACCAGGCCCGCAGCCGACCTCCCGGGGAGGGCCGCCACGCTCAGGGGGTTAGGGTTTAGGGGAGCCTTTAGGGGCGAGGGTCTCCCTGCACTATATATTAACCTCTTTACCATTTCTATCAATCACATTACACTGGTGCACACTCTCTTCACAACATTGGCTTCATTTTCCAACCATTTTCGACTCTCATAACATTGGTGTAGAATGGAGCAGTGAGTGTCAAATTGCCAATCAAATCAAGTGAGGCTTGCCCACGGTCTCGGCAGACACCACTTTCGACCCCTGAAAACGTCTCGAGCTAAGTGTTTCAAATTTTTCATGGAACGGATTGGACTTGATCCATCCTGACGACAATTAACATGCCGATGAGGACGAATTAGGACTGTTCTCGCAGCAATCGTCGCAATGTCATCACATGAAGGCTCCTCCTGCGCGCAAGTCGACGTAGTTTGGATATCGGGGAGCAAATGTGGGACAGAGATTGTTTGGACGACAAAGGATACAAGGTGCCAGTCGTGGACACACAGAAGGAATTATCGTGACGCTTCAGTACGTCATCAACAGGATGATTGTCTGTGAGCCAAGGTACTCTGCACGTGTTTGCCATCAGCGGCATCTCTAAATGGCCATGTCCTAACTACTTTCCACCGCAAACAGTTTATGCAAACACCGCTCTTCTCACTGATTCGGAAATAAGAATAAGTCGCCGTAAGATAATTCAAGGTGCTTCTCGCCTGCCAGTTTTGAGGAAGGAGAAGGGACGTAGATAGCTAGCGAGCTACTCAAATGCTCCAAAGCTTTCAAGCTGAGCACAACTCAACTTTTGAGCCAGTCTGACCGGTGCTACTGAAGTATGTGCAATTGTGAACATGCACAGTTGGCGTCACTTCAGACACATTCTAACGTGGAATTCACCCACGAGAAATCGTGTGCAAGCAGAATCCTCACCATTCACAAACGCATCAGAATTCTAGTCCCTTCTACAAGTTGTACAGGAAGCTGTGAGCGATAAGATGTGGAAGACTTTTGTTGCAGTATCTTCTGTCTCGGCAGGAGAAGAAAACTATGCATTCATTGAAACAGGGCCTTCAGCGCTGGCAGCTACGGGTAGAGGATGTTCACAGCAGATTCGATTGGACGTCGGCGGGCGGGAACGGCCCAGTCTCAGGCCAGTGTCGCGAGGTAGCCAACAACACATTAGCGAATGGGAAATCGCAGCAAACGTGAGGAACGTGTGGAAATGAGAATGGTGGGCGAATTTGCTCATGCCGCAGCGAAGAAAGCCTGTCAACAACTTCACGGCCCTCCGGCTAAACGTGTTCAACGTGGCTTCGGGGGGAAATCTACAAGGCAGAGACTTTCCTTAAAATATTCACAAATATCTCTTGTCTCGGCTCCGGGGAATCTCGTTCGGGCCCTCAGGCTGTTCGCTCCGTGCCACTTTATGCTCAGCAGCTTCGACGCTTTAGCTCTTTTTCTCTCCTCGGACTCGTGTCAAGGGCAAGGGCAGCGAGAGATCGACGCCCAACCAGGAGCCCTTCGAGAGCGCGGAGGTCGCACTTTTGCATCCCATGTCAGGACCAATTAAGACCAGCCTCCGACTTTCCGGCCTTCTTAGACAGGGTCGCCCTCGCCCTGTGGCCCTCTAGCTGCGGGCGAAGCGAAGCAGTTGAATCCGTACTGGTTTCCGAAAGCGACAAGCCAGGAGACAACGATCGGGCCCAGCTCTCGTTTGTCTGGCCCCATGGGGTCCCAGCTCCATGCCCCTATGAAAGACCTCCCTCCTCATTTCTCGATCCCTGGCGCACGTCGAGAGAGAGAGAGAGAGAGCCAAACTTCTCCCGTCTACCTCGCGCTCCTCACTCCCTCCCTCCTCGCCGCAATCTCTCCCTCCCCACCGGGGGCGCGAGCACCAACAGACCTTAGCGCCGCCCTCGAGCTGAGGCGGTTCTCGAAGCGCAGCGCAGCGCAAGGCCGGCGCCTGGACCGGATCGAATGCGCTCGAGGAAGGACGAGCGGCCTGAGAGGCCATGAGCGCAGCGCGAGGGTGAAGTCGAGGAGAGCGAAGTCGGCAGGTAGGGGCGCAAGGAGTCGAGAGGAGTCGGCGCCATGGGGTTCGAGAAGAGCGGGTACCGGGACGGGATCTTCCACAGCCTATTGCGCCCGATTCCGACGCCGCGCAACGTCGACATGGTGACGTACATCCTGTTCCAGCAGCCGCATCCGCAGCGGACGGCGCTGGTCGACAGCCCCACGGGCGCCAGCGTGAGCTACGCGCAGCTGCAGCGCAGGGTTCGGGCGGTGGCGTCGGGCCTGGCGCGCAAGGGCGTGAAGCAGGGCGACGTGGTCATGCTGTGCATGCCCAACTCCATCCACTGGCCCGTGCTGCTCTTCGCCTCGTCCTTCCTCGGCGCCGTGGTCACCACGGCCAACCCCGTCAACAGCATCCCCGAGCTGCGCCGCCAGGCGCAAGACTGTCGCGCCGCGTTCCTCATCACCGTGCCCGAGCACTCGGCCAAGCTCGCTCCGCTCGGCCTGCCGACCATTCTGAACGACCTCGATGCTCTAGGCGTCGCGTCGCAAGTCGAAGTCGCGGGCGCCCCCGCCCCCGTCGCCCGCCTGTCCGAGCTTTTGCGGGCCGACCCCGACCGCGCGCCGCGGCCCTTCATCCGCGAGTCCGACACCGCGCTGCTGCTCTACTCCTCGGGCACGACGGGCGCGAGCAAGGGCGTGGTGCTCACGCACCTGAACGTCGTCGAGTCCATCAGCCAGAGGGACAGCCTGGACTGCCACCTGCGCGTCCCCGACGAGATCGAGACGCACTTGGTCATCATCCCGCTCTTCCACGTCATGGGCTTGTGCGTCGTCCTGGCCACGCTGCTGCGCCGCAGCCACAAGCTCGTCATCGTCCCGAAGTTCGACTTCCCGTCCATGCTGGCCGCCGTCCAGCGCTACAAGGTCACGAACATGGGCCTCGTGCCGCCCATCATGGTGGCCCTGACAAAGAGTCCCCTCGTGTCGCAGTACGATCTCAGCTCCTTGAAAGTCATCGGCTACGGCGCGGCGCCCTCGGGCGACGTCAGTGGCGTCGCGCAGCGCATCAAGGGCGTGAAACTGACCCAGGTACTGTACTTGGATCGCACCGAATGTAGCGCTCTGTTTCCCTCGCTCGAATTGCGCCAATTTCGGTCTGCTCGATTTGCGGAGCCAGTGATTTGAGGGGTTTTCTATTGAGGGATTTGGACTGATCCGATTATCTCTCGATTTCTCGATCCAGGGCTATGGGATGACCGAGACGGCCGGGTCGGGCGCCGCCGTCAGTAAGGACTTCGTGGAGTATGCGCTCGAACGGCGGTCCTGTGGCTTCCTGACTGCCAATATGCAGGCCAAGATTGTGGATGTGGGCACGGGCGAGGCCTTGCCTCCGAATCGCGAAGGCGAGCTTTGGCTGCACGGACTGAACGTTATGCGAGGTGCGTTCTCTTGACGTCAGGGCCCGAGACGCTTCGCCCGGTGTGGTGGTCATCTTCGTCGGAAACTGACCGTCTTCTTGTCAATTGTGCGCGGAACGAGCAGGGTACTTGAACAACGAGAAGGCCACCGCTGAAACCTTGGACAAGGACGGCTGGCTGCACACCGGCGACCTTGCGAAATTCGACGAGAATGGATTTCTGTACATCGTCGATAGACTTAAGGAGCTCATCAAGTACAATGGTTTCCAGGTACTTTCGACCATCTCCTGGAGCTCCTGCTCGTAATAACATTTCACTACTTGGAACACGAATGAATGGATTAGTTACTCGAAGCGTCATACGGTGCATGGTTAGAATAACACGGCGATCTTGAGGCTTCCGTGGTAGAAACCACGGAGTCAGAGGTCAAGACTTGTATGACAGGGGAACCTCGAGTTTTATGAGCTGACCGTACGCAGCAGTTGATGAACACCGAAGTGGTTGTAGGTGTGCTTTATGATGTGCATGGTCTATCGATGAACACTATGTCGGGTCTGTTTTGCAAGTGAGAGTTCTCGAACACCGGAATGTGTGCCGACTAATTGAATTGGTGTTGGTCCTGTTACCAGGTTGCCCCAGCGGAGCTGGAAAGTGTTCTCCTGAATCATCCTGAAATTGTGGATACGGCAGTCGTACCGTATGTGATCCAACCCCACAACCTCGTTCATAGACTTGTGTATCTGTGGCATCAGTTGTTTTCTCTGTATACTGGTTCTTGAGCCCTCTTTGTGGTATATCCCATCGAACGACAGTACTTCATGCCATGATAATGAGAACGAATGGCTTCAATGCACCAACACATTGTGAAGATGACGTTTTTAGGGTGATGAAAGTCTATCTGTGTTCTGGCTCAGTTTTCCAGAGGAGACGGTGGGAGAAATACCTGTGGCTTTCGTCGTAAAGCGTCCTGGGAGCTCGCTAACTGCGGATGCGGTCATGGACTACGTTGCCGAGCAGGTCTGTTCACATAGCAGTCCACCTCCCTCCTCCTCACTGCACTTTAGTATCCGATCTCTAGTTTCAAGGTCGAGATTGGGGTATGTTGAACTTCAGACATGTCGTAAAGGAGCATGAAATGGATCAGATTTAGCTAGAAGTCTGCAATTTTGCTCCAAGGCATCTCTTCTCTACATCGGTAACTGTTCCAGATACGCAGGGGGTATTGTTGGCTGCAATTAGAGGATGTGGATTCATTGAATCGGCTTCCATCTTTTCTCAGTGATTGGTGACAAGAGTTTAGACTGATGTCTAAAGAATGTTGCAAAATAGCAATGGATTCATTATAGACCCCGCCATGAGGGATTTATACTGAAAGCATGGATCTAACGTTGGCAGGTGAGTCCCTACAAGAAAGTTCGAAGAGTCGTCTTCGTTGACATCATTCCAAAGCTGGAATCGGGTAAAATACTTCGGCGTGATCTGAAGAACTTGCTGGCTCCTACTTCGAAATTGTGATGGGAAAGACAGTCCTCGCCGAACAGATTTTCCAACTCATTTTACTGTTTGCACGTGTACATATCCACAACCTGGCCGATCCGAGTCATGGTCCTCCCAAGAGTGAGAGCTCTCTGAACTCACAACCTTTTCCCGGTGGTTGAACCCCTGCTATGACATCATGGCAGGTCCTGACCTGTGCAGTGGTATGAGAGCAGGCTACGATGTTTCTAGGCTCATCTAGTGTGCTGCGTAAGGAAAACTTAAGTCAACATTGCCTTCACAGCGAATCAAGTTATTAATGAAGGACTGTAATTATTTCTGGGAAGTGACGAGAAAGAACAACTAGAGTAAGTCTTCTTGGCACGGAAAGATTGAACGATAGTCAATGTCTCATCAAAGTCGAATTTGTGCTCTCTCAAAGAGAGAGGTAGGTGTGAAGTAATATATTGACTGTCTAGCTGTGTAATAAGTCCATGTAGGAACTTCAGAGTAGCTGGATGTACCGATTTAGAGTAAATTAGCAAACATTTTCTACACCATTTCGGAAACATGCCAGTGCTCTCATCATCAAGATGAGAGCTTGTGTACAAATATTGGACATCCCATTTTCAAACTAGTCATATGGATGTTCAGCCCCTTGCGCTCAACGGCGTTGCATAATTTTTCATCTATTTCTTGTCATACCTTTCGCAAGATGATTGATCGATTAAAGAATGATGATAGTCATCTATGAATTGTTCTGATTTTGCAAAGAATACCCGAAAGTCTAGACGAAATTAGAGCAGTCTAGTGAAAATGATCAGGAAGATTCCTGAATGTCGTATTGTTGTTGGGAGGCGGAGACGAATATAACTTCGACACACAAGTATTGGTGAGAAGATGTGCAATATAGCATGGTCGTTTGGGCGACGGGTTGAGGGTTAAGTAAAGAGCGTCAACCTCTTTATGACCGAATGAGTTGGTGACTAATTGCCGCTGAACGTTTAGTCTTGTGACAACCTTCGCTGCTTTGGAGGGGAAAGAAAATATTCGACTCTTGCTTGGACAGATGCAGGTTGTCGATGCCAATTCTCTAAAATCAGCTTTATCCTCTTTACGCAGCGTAGTCCATCATCACAATCACAAGTTATCTGGTCGCCTCGTGATGCAGTACGCATTAGACAGTGTAAGAATTGCCAGAAACTTGTCAAGGCATGTGAAGATATTAGAACTTTTTAATGCCACAACAAAAGTTATGACCCGGAAAGGAAAAGCTCGCCGCGATGGGGCTCCGAGAGTCTGCACAATGGAGAATGTTCATTGTTTACCTGGACAAGGGAAAGTATTTACGATATTTTTCTGCCATCGCAGTAGATCCACCACAAACTAAGTACACGGACAACATCTGAAGTGTGATGTGTACCGGTTGCTGGTACGGATCACTGTAATAACAGGTTTTTATGTACGGCTACACGTATAGATACTCGAGAGCCATACAGTTTAATGAGTGATCCGATTCAGCTCTAGATTCTGAGTCTATGTACATACTTCAAATGTCTCGACATTCAAAGCTCATCTCTCTGTGCCTCGGATGGAGATCGTGACATGGAAAGCTTTCCGCAAGAATCGACCGGGGCAATGCCTACGCGCTCGTTCTCAACATCATACAAGTAGTAGAAGTTTTGTTGCTGGATGTTTCCTATGATTGACAGACCCGAGGTACCAGCGAACGCCAGGCAAGTGGTGCCGTGCTGGTCAATTTGTAGGAAAACATTGTTTGAGGGAAGATCCACATCCACCCCTTGGAACTGGAGCGTTACCGAGGGTAGTTGAGGATCGCTCACGCCAGACAAATCATAGCAAAGGTCTAAGCCGTACTGCGAGCTGTCAACTAGGGGGTATTTGATGAACGAGCGCAGCTTGATCAGGAATGGACTATAAGCAGACTGGATGAGATACGTGAGTGTGGTGCCCGAATCCACGATTACTCCACCCTGACCATTTCGCTTCAAATCAAAAGCACCTGAAGGGATACCGACCACATTTTGCTTGTTCACCTTGATGCTTTTGAGCTTCACGTAGTAGAAAGAGTCTGCAGCAGGGTTGCGAATGAGAGGTGTGTACTGCAAGTTCAATGAGTTTCCAACGGATACCGCTGCGTCTCCAAAGATCAGAGGACTCGACTCGGCTGCCGAGCTGGTGATCTCAACCAAACAGTAAGAAAACTTCGAACCGATCAAAGATCCAATCTGTTCAGGAAACGAGAGGTCACCACGACCCAAACCCACGAGTCCATCCGTGCCTGAAAACGTTCCCCGATTTTTGTGTCCACATCCGAAGACGAAGCTTGGGAACTCCTGAGTATCACCAGTGGTGGTTGTCAGCGTCAGGGTATCGGTAGCCAGTTCTCCTTGTGTGGTTGATTGATCTCCGTACCCGTAACGATAAGTGCAGAAGCCACCGCTGTCAGATCTCTGGGGAAGCTCAGCACAAGTCTCACTGGAGTAGTTTACTTTCTTGTAAGTCGTCGACTTGCTGGGGTCAAGAAAGGGGTCGTTTTGATGATAGCAAACTGAACAGGGGCTGCATTGCAACCAGACAAGGTCACTACCGGTATCGACGATAGCAGTTTTGGTTTGCGGCGGACTTCCGAGAGATATGGTCATGACATAGCTTCCTGGAGACGAAGTGACAGGAGACTCAAAACTAGCAGCCCGAACCGAAACGTCGAGCTTCGGATCGAAGTCCACTCCGCGGGGAGTTACCCCACTGGCCACTGTCGCCTTGAACCCTGCAACTCGCTTATTACTCCTCTTCACGGCGTTCTGAATCCTTTCGGCAAATGTGGACTCCGGCTGGTGCAGAGGGGAATCCGCGTGATGATCCAGATGCTTCATCTCCACAAACATCCCTTCCTGCAAGGTCTCGGACTTCAGCTTAATTCCACCATCCCCGTCGCCCCGCTTGGCCCTGTCCCCATAGATATACGTCGACCTCGCAATGCCCTCGTGCTGCTTGTAAGCCTCCACGACCGCAAGCGACAGAGCTAATCCCAGCAGCAGCAGCACCGACGCCTTCCCCACTGCCTCGACCCATCTCGACCTCGCCGCCATCTCTGTCGAATTCCAATTCCTCGCTCAATCTGCTCCCGTACCCGAATCGCCCTCCAGCCCTCCCTCCCTCGAGTCCGATCGATAAAGGGGCAGAATGAGACCCTCCGCCCGATGTCGGCTCGGCTCTTAAACTTTCTCACCTCGCCCAAAATCAAGATCAAGAAAAGCAGCCAGCGCCATCCTTGCCTGCCGTTGGCGCGTCCACGCGCGCCCACCCCCCGTGCCACGCGCCGGGTCCCTCCGGCGCGATCAAGAATCCTGCGCGTGCTTCGACCAGGACAAGGCAACGTAACGCTGCAGTTTCGGAGATCCGGCTTCGGTCCGGTCGGTTCCGGCGTCCCGCGGTCGCGGCCGAAGCTTCGGCACGAAAGGCGGACCGTCACGCAAACGGGGCGATGGGTTCGGAGTTCGAGTTTCTTCTCCGGTTCGTGATCCTGCTGATCCCGCTTCTTCACGTTGTTTCCGACTCGCTCTTCCCGCCTCCGCATGGCGTCGCGATGATCGCCTCGCTCGGCCCGGGCGTCGGTCAAGGGAAAGATTCCGGTTGTGGGGTTTGTCGTAGCGCGTGGGCCTGGGCCGTGGCCATCGCGACTCGTGACCCGTCGCGTCCGATCGTGACAGAGTGACAGTCGATGTACGAGGCAACAAGTGACGGGAGGAGAAAGAGAGCACCTGTACAATTTAGCGAAGCAAGAAGGATGCGAGTACAGCAATTTACTCAACCTTGAAAATAGTTTCACAATGCATCGTGATTCTTATTCTTGCCGTAAAGAGTGGATTCCGACGAACATAAATTTTCTATTTAAAATAGACTACAACAAAACCTAAAGTGATACAATTATCATGTCGAATACGATAGATCATCATGCCTTTTTAGAAGTCTATATAGAAATTTTATACCTATAAATTCAACGAATAGACTATACATGTACTTACCATACACTTTGGAGATCTTAGAGTTTATTGTTTCAATCTGTTAAGATAGATAATCATCATGTGCGCAATAATATATTAGTATTTTTGAACGAAGTGTGAATTTGACATAACCCTAGTCGACTTCAAGGCATACAACCTCTCACTTCATGTGACATAACCGCCTCCACTTGCCATTGCAAACAAACCGTCCCCAACATCATAAAACACTACCACTTGCTTTTAAAATGGACGAGTCATATAAACACATGTATTAAAAACTGCCATCTTCAAAATGTGACTAGATGTACCAAACCAAAGTAACCTAGTCTCTATGGAAAAATTAAGTAGCGCAAACATACCAGTTACATGAATCATGTTGCATTTGTTGAGAAGTCCCAGAAGGAAATTTGCTTCAGTGTCGCTGGCTTTTTCCTTATCTCTCAGTCGACTTGTGTATATTGATAATTATGATTTCTCATGGGAGATTGTTAACTTCACCCTCCGTTGCAAAATAAGAGTTTGTGGTTGAGAAAGGGTCGCAAAATAAAAGAAAGTGCTTGGAATAGAATCTTTTGGTTGAACCGGTCCAGTGCATGTTTAAGCTCCACAGCAGTAGATTCCAGTGTTTCCTCCGTATGCATACGAATGATCACCACTGTACACAAACTTTTGTACTAGGGAAAAAGAAAATGAGAAAGAGAGATTGAAAAAATAATTAAATTTTGACATGTCTTGTTGCCATGAACCCTAAACTGGTTAGAGGGAAAGGTAATTTAACAACTGGGTGAATTGAACAATCCCCTTCCTCATGTTCCGGTTTGTAAATAGAGCCTTTGCCTATGAATTTCTCAACTATTCTCTTCTGCATGCCTCAAGTGATACGAGGGCAGGAATCGAACAGTTCAACTTTTCGTGGAGTCGCTTGATGGATCATCTTTGACTTATTTGACCCATTCGCATTTTCTACGAAACACCCAGACGTATATATTAAAAATTCAATGATGAAGAAAACACCATCGATAAGAACATAGGAGGAACGCCAAGAGAGCCCGACATCGGGGCAAGGTACAGGGAGAGGGCTCATCAGGCCGTGTAATGCCAACAGTCCAGCCGCCCTTACATTATCCCTTGCATGAAAGTCATGATCACCAGTAAGTAAATCTTCGTGCTAAAAAAGTAAAAAACAGTTCCTCTAGGCTAATTAATGTTTAATCTTCAATTTATTTAAACGTTTATATTCCATTGAATACCCTCAAGAACACTAAGCACAACAAGATAGAGATAGACTTACTCAGATTCTTCTATCATGAATGCATACGTGCACAATCTGTAACAATTTTTTTGTGTTTCACATTTCTCCATGGGTAAAGACAGAACCATTTATCATTGTGTCATCCTATGTTTGTGTAAAACTGAAATTCAAGATCACTTTGATCTTTAATGCAGCACTAAGTAGGCTTTTTCAAGGTAACTTAAAGGTTACTGGTAATGCATAGTCTTTTACCTTACCCCCACCACTACTTTTACCTTTACCTAATGGTAATTCATCATATATATCTTCTCTATGTGTATCACAACTGTGATCTACCCGTGCATTATGGTTAGAGGTAGGCCCGGCAAGGGAAGGTAAAAGGTTACCGGGTAATACATGGGTTTTTACGTTACCCTTTTATTATCTACTTTTACCTTACTTAATGGTAATTTATCCAGTTAACATTCTCTATGTGTATCACGACTGTGATCTACCCGTACATTACGATTAGAGGTAGGCCCCGACAAGGGAAGGTAAAAGATCGCTATGTGTATCACAACTGGGATTTAATGAACTTTACTTAATAGTAAATTTGATACAAACCCACCTACAACAAACCTACGAAAAGAACTAACATTACTCATAGAGGATCTCTACTCTGCTATTCAATACTGGCAGCATACTCACTTCGACCTGTATCATTTCGCTTTGACGGTCATTCCATGAACTCTGTGGCGGACTTTTGCAATAAAAAAAATTGTGTGAAACACACGTGATATACGATGAACCTAAAAAGAAAAAAGTTCAATGTTGTTGGTTGTTTCATTGAATTTGAAAAAATGCTTTACATTTGGATTAGAGCCAAATTTCTTATTGCGTCAAAGCAAAAAATATTGCATTAATTTAATCAATTTTGACTAAATCAATCACAATGAGATCAACATTGCAAAAAGTGATGCTTCTTGAAGAGTGAATTGAAATCAACAAATCCTATTGTGCACATTTAAAAACTTTAGAAGATCCATCCGCGTTTATTGTCCAATATGATCCGGAAACTTAGACAATATGGTCAGGCTAGTTTTTTTTACTACTACTATCAAAGTACAAACTCCAAACGCCAGATCAGTATACATCAATGAGAATTGATTTCTAAACAAAAAAAATTTAAAAAATTGACTCTATGACATTTTGAACCAAATAAATCTTGATCTTCACATAATGGAAAAAATTGTGCGCACGTATCCAAGATGAGTATTTAAATGGTTATGTACTTAACCCGAAGATTATTGTACTTAGTGATACGCCTCGGCAAGGCAAGGTAAACTTTTAGGATTACACCATAAATTGGTAAAAGTTAAAGGTTGGATTATAGGTAAAGTTTCGAGTAAAGTAAAGGTAAAGCTAAATGGATTACCCGGTAAATTTCTCTAACATTGTACTTAAGAGCTAGAGCACTTTCATTAAAACATCAATGTTGCTCAACGTATATCATAAAAATCATTTAGTAGTTTATAGGTGAATTCTTTTAAATTTAGTTCAAATCAAACTCTAAAAAAATGATTCAGTTTAATAAAAAAATGTTATAAAATAAATTTTAAGACCTGACTAGGTATTTTCTTAAAAATTTTTGATCCATACATCAACTGAAAAACATATCTAAAAGTTATATATAATCTTCTCAGAATTTTACTATTTATTATCGATAGGTTTTTCCTATGATTCTTTCATGATAGGTAAACAAAATATTCATTTGACAAACATATGAGATTATATATATATATATATATATATACATACATACATACTTTCCATTATGAAAAGTTAGTGTAATTGATTGGGTTTTAGGTTCTTCTATCGAATGTCCAATAATGATTTTGACATGTTCTCCCAATTCTATAGGAAGTAATTCTACTAAGTACGCTCGATACTCTTAGGATTAAAATGCGTATTTAAACGGGAGATCACTGTATTGCAACTATATTCGGCTTTAACTTTTGAATATAAGAGATCAAAAGTGAAATATGTCATAACTACAAGATTACAATCCTTTCTAGGCCTGAATGGATCTTAGCATGTACTTAAATGAGAGCTAAAATCTTTAAGTCCATGACACGATATAAGCTCTTGACTCAAGAAAGTATCAAAGCCATCTTAAGTCTGCATGTTTGGTACTTTGTGAATGAGAATAGAATTGATAACTAATAACACATCATAAGTAGTTATGTGTTGGTCTTCAAAATAATTGAAGTCTAGATTGGTTCAAATTCTCATTGTGACACATGAGAAACATGCAATGTAATAACTCATCAATATGCATTTGATAAGAGAGGTATTTTTTTCCTTGGATACAGGTAAATATTATGAAAACCAATAAAAAATCACTCTATATTTGAAGTTTATGATCTAAACACAAGCAAAACAAACACTAACCTCAAATCTTAATATTCGAAACTACCTCTCCTTGTTAATGACCATTTGTTTTGAAAACTAAGCAAAAAGAATGCAATCTTACAATTTTTATTATTTTTTCTATTACCTATATTGCTAGGGACAAGTGTCTGAAGTACAATGAATCCTCTAAAATGAATTATAATTTATTTATAACCGGACAGCTTTTGAAAGCTAATTTCTTAGCTATGCATTATACAACCCATGTGGATCTAGCTTTCTTAAGCATAAAACACATCATAAGTAAATGTGCGATATTATTCGCAATGAAATTGCGAGAGATTGTTCTTACCTATCCTGTAACAACTATAACAATATGTGTTAGTTACAATCTCCTTAATTAAATCTTTAGAATTTAAGATTTTTAAAGTAGAACAACTTGATGTACTTGAAGGCGCGGAATAAATACTACAAGTTTGTGAAATCATTCAAGGCTTCTTCTGCCCAAAAATTTCAGTAATTTTGGAGCTAAT